CTTACAAAAAAGGTATACACGTTGAAATTTCATATTCAAACTTCAAAAAAAGAAGACATTAGAGAGACCCCTAAAAAAAAACGTAATTTTTTAAAAACATTTGCTCAACCATTCATTCATATATATTAAATAAGAGAACTTGAAGTATCAACAGATATTCACCACTTCCTTTGACCACTGCATTGCAGAGTTCAACACACGGTTTCAGCTTAGGAACAATGAAAAACTGCCCTTCTGAAAATGTTTTTACAAAGTCTGAATACATAGTAAAATATTCTGAAAAATCAGAGGTATGCATAAAGAAGGAAATTTTAATTACCTATAATTTTAAAAAACAGAAATCAAACAGTTTTGTACCTAAAGCTTCTTCTAAAATGTATACATGATACAGAAATTAGTGGTTTCCAGTTCTTTTACAAATGAAAACATTTTTATTAGGATTACTTAAAGAGCTAAACCACAAATAATTCTATGCAGACACAAGCTAGGCAGTTCAAATGTAAAAAAATACTGAAATCCTTCTTGCCTAAGAAAACATTAACTCTAGGGAAGAAAACAGAAAGTTGAAAGGGGAGGGGAAAAAAATTTCACCATTTGAGAAAATTTTTTTCAAGTACTGGTCTTTCCAAAACAAGTAAGAAAGATTCCACCTATATCAAGCTTTTACCAAAATAATAATAATAATAATAATAATAATATTTAAAAATCATACTTTATCTTAGAGAATCCTAGTATAATGTAACCGACTCTTCCCAATACACTCACTCCTAAAAAAATTTAAATATCAAATGAAATGTCTTACCATTTCCACTTTCCCTCTTAAATTTTCTACAAATATTAGGGGTAATTTTTCCAAATAAAACTAATTTAAATTGAAGCACATTTAAAGAGTGATAAATGTTGTATTGTGAACTGAAACAAGAATGAAGTTAATATATATTGCTGCAATTTCCAGGACGACATTATCGGCTGCATCACCCTTGTAAGGTGGTAAGCCGTATGCCATCACTGGAAAGCAGCTCACAAACTCAGTGGCGCCAACTGAGCGAAGTGGGAAGTGGTGGCACTGTGATAGTGGCCAAGAAGGCACCAGAAGAGTAGGGTTTGTTTTAAAGTCAGGGATGTGGTACCAAAGTGGAACAGAGTGAAAGGAGTTTGAGAGCTGGAACGCCAAAAGATGACTAGCAATTATTGAGTGAAAGCCATGTTGTTGATGTTTTCCACATATTATTATTAGATTTAATCCTATGTGATAAGTATTTATCACCTCCATTTTACAGATGAGAAGCCAGGTTTAGAAAAGTCACATAACTTACTGCCTAAACTAGATTTGTTTGCTCTCTGGTTCTTCTCCAGTATATTGACTTCAGATTCTGTGTGAGCAATTTCACTGTGTGTGTGGGGGCGGGGGGGGAGACACGTAGAAGGGAGGAAGGGCGTGGAAGGGAGGAAGAGAGGGAAAGAGTAAGAAAGACTTGGATGATCTCCTATTTAACCTACAAAACTGACCTTGTCTTTCTTTGTTCAAGTATTCCCTTCACCTGGGGCCCTTCTCCAATATCCCCCCCATCTATGATTTAAGGTCCAGTTCGAATGCCCTCTGCTATACACATCCATTCCCTGATCTCCCATTCCCCTATTATTAGAAGTACCTCCAATTTAAGTTTTCTTGAACCTTTAGCATGTCTACTAACAACTCATGACTTTGAGAATGTTTTAAAATCATCACTCCACAGATTACTTATTGATTACAAAAGAAAAAGGAGTCCCTTTACAATATAAATCTAGTAGACATTATACAAATTTACATCAATAATGAAACTGACATCTCATGCCTCTATGTGATACATTAAAAGAGACCTAAAATCACCTATGTAGCATTCCAGCCCCAAATGTTTAACACGGATCTGATCACGAAGATCAGCCGAATCAAATTGAGGGGGATCTTACAAAAAAAACTGGTCTGGATGCTTAATATCATGAGAGACCCAAAAGAAGCTGAAAAAATATTTTATATACAAGCAGGCAACTAAATACAAGATCCTTAATTGAATCTTGGGTCAAAAACAAAAACTGGCCTGGCCAGTGTGGCTCAGTGGTTGAGCACTGACTTATGAACCAGGAGGTCACAGTTCAATTCCCAGGTCAGGGCACATGCTTGGGTTGCAGGCTTGATCCCCAGTGTGGGGCGTGCAGGAGGCAGGTGGTCAATGATTCTCTCTCATCTTTGATGTTTCCCCAAAACAAAGCCATGGCCTGTATGGCTCAGTTGGTTGGGCATCGTCCTGTGCACCGAAAGTTTGCTGGTTCCATTCCAGTCAGGAACATGCCCAGGTATGTGGGCTCCCTGCCTCCGTGTGCAGGAGGCAGCAATCAATGTTCTGCTCTCACCTGGATGTTTCTCTTTCTCTCTCCCTTCCTCTCTCTAAAAATCTATTTTTAAATCAATTAATTGTTTTAATTAATTAATTATATTAAATAATACAGATATAAAATTTAAAAGTTCAAATTCAATCCAGCATACCTACGTAATACTATTTACAAAATTTTAAAAATGGGTTTGTTTTAGCCCGGCTGGCATGGCTCAGTGGTTGAGTGTCAACCTATGAAGCAGGATGTCATGGTTCAATTCCAGGTCCAGGAACTGCTGGGTTGCGGGTTTCGAGCTCCATCCTCAGGAGCGGGTGTACAGGAGGCAGCGATCAATGATTCTCTCTCATCATTGATGTTTCAATCTCTCTCTCTCCCACTCCCTTCCTCTCTGGCATGAAATTATATATACATATGTATGTAAAATGGAGGTGTTTTATTCCTAGAAATAAAAAACCTAGCATTATAAATTAACTTATTCATTTACTGACTCAGCAAATATTTCATGAGTACTTATTATGTACCAGCCACTATTCCAGCTCAGTGGTGAAGACAAAGTTCCTATTCTCACAGAGCTAACAGTTGAACGGGGAGACAAAGACTAAAATACTAACTAAATATACAAATTATATGTTACCAGATAGACAGATGCTATAAATAAAATATAGGGACAGGAGACAAAGAATGACAAGAGGACAGTGTAAGGACACAGAAAGTACCAGGCAAAACCTCTCCAAGGCAGTGATTTATAATAAGGCGTGTTCAACATAAACTATTTCAGAACCAACATTTGCTTCATCAAATACTCTTCCTCACCTTTCCATTCTCCTCCCCCTTGATTTTTTCCACAAAAAGTTTGCTGCAGTGGTTTTCCATCACTGCTACTACTTTGGGGGGTGAAGAAAGGTCTCACACCAGATGTTGACAGGTGCTTTACAAACAGGTGCACATTTCCAGTCACACATATTGTGGAAAAAAAAATGTTCAGTGATTTGTCAGTGAGAAGACTGATGCCAAAATGAAGAACTGCAAAAATTTTACATGGAATTTCAAAATAAATGATTTTCCAACTCTCCAATTCTATAATCTGCACGTTTACTTTCTATCACATATGAAAAGAAGGTAATAGCAATAGGAAAATATATTTGAAGAGAGATCCTGAGGCTTTTCACTTCAGGACAATTCTTTAAAAGCCACACTACTCATATGATTTAAAGAAAAGTAGCACACACTGAAACTTCCTATCACAGGCTTACACAAGAGCTTGGAGGGTTTCGTCGCTTGGAATAGGAGGTGCAATAATACGAACATTTCAAAGCCAAAGCATTCAATACCCTTTCTTCTTCATATTATTCTGCTGACTCCCCAGTACCCTGAATGAAATATCTGTGGTCTATTCTATTCTTTCAAACTATTACTCTGGTCTCAGCCAACCAAGTCTTTTCTTTTACTTCCCTCATTACAAAATTCCCTCTTTCACCTACATTTATCATCCTGTCTGCTTGTCTTCTTTCTCATTCAATGATTCAAATATTCTTCCAGGCAGATTTATATATCCCAAAAAATGTATTCCTATTTCAGGAATACATGTAAAGCCTGATATAGTAATATATGTGCAATTTTATCACCACATAAAGTAACAAGATCTAACAGTGAGTCTAGCAATACCATAAATTTGAAGAAATTATCAGCATAAGTGATATTTTGAGATATCTGCAACATTTGTAAGCATTATACAATAATATCCATCATTTTTATTGTGACAAAGTCGCAGACATTGTTAATTCTACTGTGGTTTGTCACCTACATTCATAATTGAAGGAAATAATAAATTACAGTTATCCTCATTCTAGTTCAAAGACACCCCCCCCAACACCCCCACCCCCGTCAGTTCTATTCACCAGCCAACCAGTGAATCTCAGGTTAAAAACCCTTTCTAGTTCAAATCTTTGCTCCAACTGCTTTTTGTCACCCATTTTAAACTAAAAACACTGAAATCTCCTTTGACCTAGCTCTCATCTGAACAAATCACCCTACTTCCCTGTTTTTAGGCAGATTTATTCACAGAGCCCTGTTCATTTCTACGGTTTGCCTCGCCAGCACCCGTTTGAATGTTGCCAGTCAGTTAAAGGTGAGAGTGAAGGAAAAGGAGGTGGAAGCAACCGACAGCCCCTCACTCCCTTCCCTCCAACAGCAAATGGAAAGATACCTCGGACGGTGTGTGTTTTTGGCAAGTGGGCTGCCCGCCAGATGGGCGAGTCCCGCTTGTCAAGAGTCCCCGGAGCACGACGTCTTCCCCGGCGGCACTCAGAAGACATTCCATCTCACTCTCGCCTCCTCGACTCGGCCCCCTACCTGCTCCGCCTCGCATCCCCTCCCCCACGCGACCCTCCCCTCCCCTCCCCGCCCCAGGCCGCCCCGGCCCCGGCCCGCCGCAGCACCTCTCCCCTCGGCCTCACAGTGACTCTCCCCGCCCCCACTTCCCTTGACACTGGAGGGAAGGGCCCCGGGGTCAGCTGAACCCCTCGGCCCGGCCGTCAGGCGCAGGCTGCGGCCCAAGGCCGGGGCAGCCCGGTCACTAGACAGGGAGTCGTGCACTCGGCGCGGGTTCACTGAGGACGGGCACTCACCAAGAGGATCATGCGAAGAAAGGAACCGAGGTGTCCGCCCGATCGCCGCCCGGCCTCGGAGCAGTCGCCCTCTCTACGAACTGCCACCGCCGCCGCCGTCGCCGCCACTCGCTAGCTGGCTTCCCTGCGTCCTGCGGTGGCGCTGCCGCCAGGCCATCGCGCGTGCGCGGCGCCGCGGGGCCCCCTGGGACTGGTAGTTCCCGCGGGCGGCCAGCGGCGCCCCTTCCGCTCTAGCCTGCCCAGTCGGCTACGGGCTCGAGTGGTCCCGGACGACCGCGGTGCCGCCGAGCGCCTTCCGGGAAATGGTTCTTCACCCAGCCCGGGCTCTCGCTTCCGCTTACGGTACTGCTGAGAAATCCGCAAGTATTAGCGTAAAGTGAAATCATTCAGAGCGCAGCCGTCACTTGCCCGGGACACAGCATTCCAAACACAAACTCCCGCCCCCGTTAGTAGTATCTGGACTTTTAAACCTGATTTCCCACTCCTCCTTTTATCAAATTTTACTTATTGTAGACTTGACCATACAGTTAATTGACAATTTATCTATTCAGTAATGTTTTTATTTACAAAAACAATTCAGATATTCAACTGAACAGTCATAGAAACCTCAGAGTTGGAAGACACCTTAAAGGTCATTGGTCCAACTCCCGCCGGGACAGGAATTCTCTCTCTTCCACATTCCAGCCAGACGGCCATCCAACTTCGATTTCCACAGTTCAAATGTCAGGGAGTTCACTACCTTTAAGTAAGGCGGCCCGCCCGCCCCCTTGTCGGACAGCTCTGATGTTAGAACGTTCTGCCACCTGCTGAACTGAAATCATCAGCTTCCCTTGTCCTGCCTCCCGCTGCTAGTAGTTATGCTGCTTGGAGCCATATAGAATGTTTCCCACTTGACAGCCTTTCAAAAAGTTGAAAGCAATGATTATATCACCCAACACTCTGAGTCTCCAGGCAAAAAAGAAAGTAATCATCATTTTTCTATTTCAAATGTGAATAAGCTCCCAGACTATTTTCCATTTAGTCATTCTCCTTGATGTATTACCTTTAAAACCTGTCAAAATTTGCTTCATATTTATTGCCTCATTTTCTTAACCACAATAGCTGGTCAGGTATTATTGCTCTCTTATTGCCATTAATCTGATTCAAGAATTCAATCTGATCAAAGAGTATTTACCAGCTATTATAAAGCATTGCTCAAAGCACCAGGGGTATGAAAAAAGCAACAGGACACAGTTTGCACTCCAGGGCCAAAGGATAGCCCACGCAGATTACGGATAGTAGTCGTAAACTAAGGTAAAAAGTGCTGAGATTCCAGCAAAGGCTTCATTAACTTGAGGGGCCATGATCCTAGAAGGAAGTGACACTGGATGGTGGGATTTCAAGAAGGAAAAGGGCATGTGAGGATTTCGAAGAAAGAACCCAGCCTAAGCAAAATGCACAAATGAACATGTTCACAGTTTGCTCTCAATACTGAATATTTTAGATGGGCTGGAGCACACAGGCCAGGGAGGAGAAGAAAGGACCCCAAAAGTTGCAAAAACTTTCTGGGTTCCTGAAGAATCTGCACTGCGAGTGGTAAGTAAAAAGAGCACTGGGATGGTCAATTAATTGTTCTGAGCCCTATGCTGTCATCTACAAATGAAGAACTTGAACTAGAACAGTTTTCAGTTGTTTTTTGGGGGGGATTTTTTGCATCCAGAACACCTAAGTAATATAGGCCCAGATATCAAACAATGGATCACTACAACAGTAATTCTTAGGGGATATGAGTATGTATTATTATTCCCAACACATTTTCCACATGAGAAAAAGAACTCAAGGTTAAAAGAGGCTCAAAATCAATAAATAATATTCAGAGGATAGAGAATCCCATCTTTAAAAAAATTATTTCTAAAAACATTATTTCTGGCAATAACTTTTTAAAATGTTTAATATGGTTTTTTTTAATTGATGTCAGAGAGAGGGAGAGGGAGAGATAGAAACATCAATGTTGAGAATCATTGATTGGCTACCTCCTGCACACCCCCTACTGGGGATTGAGCCTGAAACCCAGGTATGTGCCCTGACTGGGAATCAGACCAGCAACCCTTCCATGCATGGGACAGTGTTCCACCAACTGAGCCTTACAGGCAAAGGCTATATGTTATTTTTTAATGGGAGTTTTCTAAAGCTCTAGAGTCTGTAAAAAAAAATCCAGAAAGACATATGTGGAAGCTGTCTTATACACAGCAGAAACTATTCCCTCATAAAATATTTTTTTGCACTTTGGAATAATCCAATTGAAAAGTAAAGGACAAGACTCCAGTTATACATTTGAGTCTTCTGGGCCCTTGGTTGTCCTGTACTGGCCCCAACTGGCCGGCTCAGAAATAGTAGTTAGTACTCAGAGGTCAATTTACTATACAGCTGATGGAGCTTATAATTTAGGGCCCCTCACTTGTTTGGGGACCCTTTCAAGGTCAGAGAACTGTATTCATGTAATCATACAGTTTTATAACATTTGCCAATGAATTTTAATTTTTGGCTATGTTGAGGACAACTTGAGAATACTAAAAATGAAAATGAGGAAAGTGATTCCTGTAGAACAGGGTCATAAATTATGCAACTCACACTTCAGCCTAATGAAATCTATTATAAACCTTATTTTTCTACCAGTACCAGTGATGTCCAGATTGATAGGAGCTGTCACCATATAACTTTGGTGCATTACCTGTATTTTAATTTAACCCATGACTAATTATAATGTTTAATGAATTGTATCTTACATATTTTTCACTGGCAATGTTTTTTGTTGTTGTTCTTTTGTATTAATTTTATAGTTCTTAAAGTTTTTCAAACTTGGTAAATTCCTGATAAAAAGATTTTTTTTAATAACAAGAAAATGTAGACCAAAAAGTAACATACAGTTTACTCTTTGAAAAACATAGATATTATGGAAGGAGACTTGATTTAGGGTGGTAAACACAATATGCAGATAATGTGCTGAAGAATTGTATACCTGAAACCTGTATAATTTTATTAACTGTCATCCCAATAAAGTCAATAAAAAAGAGAAAAACATAGATATCAACAATTTTAATGGCTATATGTTTCATCATACTGATATATCATGATTATAATTTTAAGACGGAAATTATTTATTTATTAAATGGTAGATTGGGCATCGCTTTTTTAAAAAATATTTTTTTATTGATTTCAGAGAGGAACGGAAAGGGAGAGATAGAAACATGGATGAGAGCCCTAACCGGTCTGGCTCAGTGGATAGAGCGTCAGCCTGTGGACTCTAGGGTCCCAGGTTCGATTCCAGTCAAGGGCATGTACCTTGGTTGCGGGCACATCCCCAGTAGGGGGTGTGCAGGAGGCAGCTGATAGATGTTTCTAACTCTCTATCCCTCTCCCTTCCTCTCTGTAAACTGTAAAAAAATCAATAAAATATATTTTTTTTAAAAAAGAGCCAGAGACCAAAATCATAGTAAATATTAAAAAAAAAAATGGATGAGAGAGAATCATTGATCTGCTGCCTCCTGCACGCCCCCTACTGGGTATCGAGCCTGCAACCCTGGCATGTGCCCGTGATTGGAATCGAACCCAGGACCCTTCAGTCTGCAGGCCAACACTGTATCCACTGAGCCAAACCAGCTAAGGCAAAATTGTTTATTTCTGATGTTTTTAAATGCTAAATTCATGAAATCTTTTAAAATTGATTTTCAGAGAGAGGGAGAGAGAGAGAGACATCGATGTGAGAAACACACACTCACATTGTATATGAATTAAACATCTCTAGAAAGCTACACAAGAAAGTGTTGACAGTGGTTACCTTTGCCAGTGTACAAGAACAGGGCTAGGGAATGGGTGGCAGGCAGATTTATTTTCATTGCATATTGTACCCTTTGAATTTTATACCATGTACATATATGTCCTATTTTTAAAATGTAGAGATTTAAGATATATATACACATCAAGTATTATTACTCAAATTCCATATAGTTCTTTATACTTATTTTACTTCAAAGGAAATTTATGTATAAAGTTAAATTGCTTTACAATTAATCAAATACCTTAAACATAACAACAACCTTGTGAGGATGCAGAATTATATCCATTGTGCAGATTAGTAAATAGCATAAGAGAGATTAAGTGACTTGCCCTAAATTACAGCTAGTTAAGTGACAGAACTGGAGCTCATAGTTTTATGCTTCCAAACTCTATGGTCTTTCCTCTCTATCACACTTTCTAACACAGCATGTCCTCTTCCACCCTGCCACCACCCCAACCCCCCGTAAAAAAAATATATATGTATATATCTATATATATATAAAAAGCCAGCGACCAGAATGCCAGAACAACCAGAATGACCAGTCGCTATGACACCCACTGTAGCCGGCCAACCGCCTGATCAGGGGTGGGGCCAGCCAGCTAACTGCCCGTAGCCCCTCCCCCTGGCCAGTCCAGCCCTAATCTACCCCCCATGGGGCGGGCCGGCTGGACCCCACCCGTGCACGAATTTGTGCACCGGGCCCCTAGTATGTGTATATGAAGAACAAAAAATGCAGTTTACTTTTTATTTGTGTGTGTGTATGGGAAGGGAGGTGAAGGTTATATATTAATTAAAAATTATCTTTTAAAAAGTGAAGACAAAGAAGAAAACTTATTGCATAGCATATTACACTTTCAGAAGAAAAAAAAATGACATGATTTTTTTCCTAGTACTGCTCCCAGGTCAGGTGTAGGGAGATACTTTTGTTTTACTTCAGTGTTGTTTAATGAAGGTTGAGAAATTATTCCCAGTCCTTTAATAAAAGACATTTATGTGGCCAATTAAGAGAGTACTTATTAGATGCAGCAGCATTTCCAAAAATCTTTGTCAAATTCAACTTATCACCAAAGTTATTATTTCTCATTGAAAGAAATCTTCAAAATTGGCTAAGAGGCGGAGTTTTTAAATTTTTAAAAATTACTTTCAATATTATTTTGTATTAGTTTCAGGTGTACAGTTAGATAATCATATACTTTACAAAGTGTTCCCCCCCAGTATTTCCAGCAAGGAGGTGGTGTTTGTGAGGAGCTTCTGAAATTTCTCATTGTACATTTACATGATTGTACGTTACCACTATTCTACAACTTTCCAAGTACTTTTTCATTTGATCCTTGCAACAAGCCACTAAGACAGGCAGGACAGAAATCCCTGACATTCAATCGGTGAAGAAACTGAGGCTCTGGGAGGTTGTTTTTTCCCCACGTTCATGTGCCCTACCTCTTAAGTTGAATATTCTCTCCAAAAAAAAGCATGTGAAAACTTCTCAATTATCAGGGTCTAAACATTCAACTTGTCAATTATTTAGGACTTTTCCTTTACCTCTCTGCCTTTATTCCCTTTCAGAAAGGAAGATTTAGAAGCGAAATGACATCCAACCCTAATCAGTCCTAACTGCTTAGCTTTCTGAGATCAGATGGGAAATGGAAATTTATTTTCTTACCTACGGGAACACAAGTGAAGCAACGTGGTTTAAATTACTGGATAAACTTTACATTTGTCTATGACCCCTTATTAAAATGTTTGCAAACTATATAACTGCTCTATATCCTAAAACAAAATCTTATAAACCCAAAGTTTAGGATGACAACCTAGACTACAGAAATTAAAAATCAAACTGTCAGTCTCAAATTCTGGCTCCATATCTTCTCAGCTGTGTGGTCTTCTGGGAAAATGTCTTTACCTCTTGAAGCTTCAGATTCCTTAGCTCTAAAGTAAGGGTTAAAAATGCTTTCATAAGGATTAAAACAGAAAATATACATAAAGCAATTAGCTTAGTGTCTAGCACTTACTAAAATATTGATAAATTGGCACTGATAACTATTATCAGCATTTAACATTTAGCAAACTAGACTTACTTGTACATTTCCCTATTCAATCCATATATGATCACACTTTGGAATATAACATATAATATACCTAATGTATTGGCTTTGAAAAGATATTACAACCACCAATATACTCAATTCCCCTCAGAAGTTAGCCAGATATCACTGCTAAGTCTTAGAAAGAGGAGAGTTGCAAAAGGTTACTCCATCAATCAAAGGTGAAGCTGAAATTGAAAGCGTTGTTTTTAATAGAAGTGAACTGTGATATACAGGGATTGGTAAAAGTGGGTTTACAGTTGTGAAAATGAGAAAGTTTATTCTTATATTACTATTTATTTTCTATACAAAGAACTGAAACCTACTTTTGTCCCACCCTGTATACAGGAAATTTGCTCAAATTGATATGAAGCTGTAATGTGGCTGGAGATTTCTTTTTTATTGAATTTTTTTTTTTTATTAGAAGGAGAGGAAGTGGCCGAAACCGGTTTGGCTCAGTGGATAGAGCGTCGGCCTGCGGACTGAAGGGTCCCGGGTTCGATTCCGGTCAAGGGCATGTACCTTGGTTGCGGGCGCATCCCCAGTGGGAGATGTGCAGGAGGCAGCTGATCGATGTTTCTCTCTCATCGATGTTTCTAACTATCTCTCTCCCTTCCTCTCTGTAAAAAATCAATAAAATATATTAAAAAAAAAAAAGAAGAAGAAGGAGAGGAAGTGGAAGGCGGAAGGAGAAAACATTGATACATGGAATGATCAATTGCTTGTTTCCGTACTTGCCCTGACTGGGGATGGAACCCAAAAACCTAAGTATGTGCCCTGACTGGGAATAGAAACAGCAGCCTTTTAGTGTACAGGTCGACACTCCAACCAACTGTGCCACTGGGCCAGTGCTGAATGGTGATTTCTAGCTTGATAATAGACTGATGCAACCTAAAGAAGGGTCAGTGTTACTGCTGTATTACAAGCCCTGTTCAAAGAGATGGCTGATGCAACTCTGATAGTAAGAATGGAGTCAATTCTGAGTCATCAGTATAACCTTTGAAGAGCATAGAGAAAAATTCCTGAGTACTGACTCCTACACTCAGCATCTTAGTAAACTGTGTGTAAGATGTTTCAATGCTCTGTGGACACAGTACTGTCCATACCTATGAATCTCAAAAATACATTCAGTGGGGAATGTATTCACTAATTTAAAAAAATTGCTAAGAGCATTGGCTATGGTGTCATGCTGACTTGGATCCTAATCCCATCCCCTCATAGACACGGACCACAGTGTGGTGATTACCACAGGGAAAGGGGGATGGGAGAGGTACAAGAGGGTAAAGGGGCGGGGGTAATAAATGGTGATGGAAGGAACTTGACAGGGTAGTGAACACAATACAATATACTGATGATGTATTATAGAATTGTACACCTGGAACCCACATAATGTTATTAACCAATGTCACCCCAATAAATTCAATAAAAAAGGGGGAGCGGAATCCTAACTCCATCCCTCACCAGCTCTATGACTTTTAAGCTAGTTAATCTCTTTCTGTCTCAATGTTCTAACCTAGAAAATGGGAAATGCCAAATGCTGAACTGTAAGGACTGAATGACACGGGGATTGGTACATAGTAAACCTCAAGTAGATAGCACCCTATATCATTTTCTGCTGCAGAATGCTATACAAGATTAAGGCATCGTGGAGAAGTCTTTGTGGCCCTAGCTGGTTTGACTCAGTGGATAGAGCTTCATCCTGCGGACTGAAGAGTCCCAGGTTCGATTGGGGTCAAGGGCACACGGCCCGGTTGTGGGCCCGACCCCCAGTAGGGGGCATGTAGCAAACAGCCCATCAATGATTCTCTCTCATTGATGTTTCTCTCTCTCCCTTTCTGAAATCAATACAAATATATTTTAAAAGAAGTCTTTGTGGACTAAAAGCACAATCAGACAAAAAGAGTGAAGGTAGAAAGCCACCTTTTATAATAAAGGAGAAGGAAGGTCTTGCGAATGGTAATGTGAGCCACAAAGGGAAACGATGGACAGGGAAGGGGAAGGAAAGGGGCAACGTACACTAGAAAAATGACGCTAGTGGGAGCGAAAGCATCAGAAGCTCTTCGGGGAGCGTGTGGTCACAGTGGGGAGGGGATTCAGGGATCGGAGATCATTACTTTGGCCCGGCCTGTCCTGTGACTTACCCTGGGGCAGGGCAATGTGGAGAGGCCTGGTTTAGACAAAGATCGCTGCAGGGGAAGCAGGGGCGACCTACTGACTAGGAGGGGCCATGATTCGGGCGGCCGATGAGCAGGTCCCGGCTCGGGGGCCGCCGGCCGGTGAGCAGCAAGAGGCTCGCACACCCCTAGTACCAGTACCGGTGGTGGCTATAAAGCGCAGAGAAATTCGTTTTCGGGCGATCATAGCACCTACGCTGAGACCTTGCTGCATGGGACAGGATGGAGGCCGGGAAGAGAAAGAGCCGCCTCCAGCTTCGGGATGAGGGACAGAGGAGCGGCAGGCGGACTGCGGAGAAGCAAAGGACTGAAGCCCCACGGTCTCGGGGGAAATCAGGCCCCATACCGGCTCCGGCCTCGGAGGGCCCAGCGTGGAGGCGGGACCTCAGCGGTTACCGGTAGAAACGGCCTCCGGGTGAGAGGTCCCCACGAGGAACGGACAGCGGCTGAACCAATGGGCCCAGCTCACAAGAGCGGATGTGGATTTCCATTGGTGGTTGTTGGGCGCGACCAGCAGCCAATGAGTCCGCCCTGGGGGCGTAGCGGTGACGTCAGTTGCGTAGGAAGCGGCTTCGAATCGGTGGCGGCCAGCTTGATGGCCTGGACCAATCAGCGGGCTCCAACTAGCAGAGCCTTGACCAATCGGCGGCCTCCACGACGGGGCTGGGGGGAGGGTATATAAACGGAGTCGGGGGACCGCGAGGTAATCGCTGTCCGAGTCATTACACACTTAACTGGTTTTGGGGTTTCGTGAGTGCGAGAGGTAGAGAGGTAAGCGCCGCGGCCTGCTTTTCCGGACCTGCCCTTGGTCTTGTCCACCGCTCCTCCTGACCCCCGGCCCTGTGTCTCCCTCAGATCGGTAACCTCGGTGCGTTTCCTTGCTGGGGCCTGTGCCTGGATTGCTTGCGACGCCCTGCCTGCCTGCTGACCGACAGCGAACGCAAGATGAAGCTCTCCCTGGTGGCTGCGGTGCTGCTGCTGCTCGGCGCAGCGCGGGCCGATGAGGAGGACAAGAAGGAGGACGTCGGCACGGTGGTCGGCATCGATCTGGGGACCACCTACTCCTGGTAAGCGGGGTTTGTGGGAAGGAGAATGGGGCTTGCCCGCTTGGGCTGCGTGAGAATGGCTGAGCTGATGGTTTCCGTTCGTTTTTTTTTCTTTCTTTTCCGTCAGCGTCGGGGTGTTTAAGAACGGCCGCGTGGAGATCATCGCCAACGACCAGGGCAACCGCATCACTCCGTCTTATGTGGCCTTCACGCCTGAAGGGGAGCGTCTGATCGGCGATGCAGCCAAGAACCAGCTCACCTCCAACCCGGAGAACACGGTCTTCGATGCCAAGCGGCTCATCGGCCGCACGTGGAACGACCCGTCTGTGCAGCAGGACATCAAGTTCTTGCCTTTCAAGGTTCGGCCCGGTTTTTTCACCGGATATGAAGTGGGAGGTGGTGGTGGGAGTATTTAAGATGGAGAAGTTACGGGAAAACAGTCTTGACGACAAAAGAGGATAGAGACACGGTACATGTAATAATAGTTAATAATTCTGGTATGTTACAAAATTTACTAAAGTTTGCAGACACACTTCACACATAACTACTCTGTCCATCATAGTTCAAGATTAAGAGAAGTTTTTTTGGTCAGTATTTAGCTCCAGGGGATCAAAGTAAATCAAACTGTAAAGGGAGGAAATGTCTCTCAGACACCCACCCCCTGCCCTTTTTTTTTTTTTAAAACCCTCCCCCCCTTTTTAAAGTTTAAAGTGTTGTTGCTTCTGCATCTGCAATAATAATCATTCTTTAAAATAGGTGGTTGAAAAGAAAACTAAACCATACATTCAAGTTGATATTGGAGGTGGGCAAACGAAGACTTTTGCTCCTGAAGAAATATCTGCCATGGTTCTCACTAAAATGAAGGAAACCGCTGAGGCTTATTTGGGAAAGAAGGTAAGTTTCTCTAGAACATGTAAAATATTTTTATTATTCGTGTTCTTGATTGTGTTGTATAAATGCCTTCATTTTTTTATAATTTGAACCTGAATGGCATTCATGTATTATAAGTTTTAATTACATGCATACTTTACTGTAGGCCAAACAAAATGCCAGGGACTTTTCCTGGGTATAAAATTACATATATTATGCCCATCTTAAAAATAAACTAGCTTAGAAACTAAAGTGTTGATTTGACTGTAACTTAAATAAGGGTAAAGCCATGTGATAAAAGACAATTACCTTTTGTTATTTTTTTTAGGTCACCCATGCAGTTGTTACTGTACCAGCCTATTTCAATGATGCCCAACGCCAGGCAACCAAAGATGCTGGAACTATTGCTGGATTGAATGTCATGAGGATCATCAATGAGCCGTAAGTGTTAAATTCAAAGGCATGGTATAGTTGCTAAATAGAGAAATTGTAAACTTATCTAACTTATCTGAACTTTTTTTTTTAATTCTCCTAATAGGACAGCAGCTGCTATCGCTTATGGCCTAGATAAAAGGGAAGGGGAAAAGAACATCCTGGTGTTTGACCTTGGTGGTGGAACCTTCGACGTGTCTCTTCTCACCATTGATAATGGTGTCTTCGAAGTTGTGGCCACTAATGGGGATACTCATCTGGGTGGAGAAGATTTCGACCAGCGTGTCATGGAACACTTCATCAAGCTCTACAAAAAGAAGACTGGCAAAGATGTCAGGAAAGACAACAGAGCTGTGCAGAAACTCCGGCGGGAGGTAGAAAAGGCCAAACGGGCCCTGTCTTCTCAACACCAAGCAAGAATTGAAATTGAGTCCTTCTTTGAAGGAGAAGACTTCTCTGAGACCCTGACTCGGGCCAAATTTGAAGAGCTCAACATGGTATGCTCCTTGTTTTTGCTTTGAGATCTAGTAAGATTGAGATGATGCATTTAGAAATCTAGACAATAAGTCAGTATATCAGGCATCATAATAGTAATTATTGTCTTTTATTCTAGGACCTGTTCCGCTCTACCATGAAGCCTGTCCAGAAAGTGCTGGAAGATTCTGATTTGAAGAAGTCTGATATTGATGAAATTGTTCTTGTTGGTGGCTCCACTCGAATCCCAAAGATTCAACAACTGGTTAAAGAGTTCTTCAATGGCAAGGAGCCATCCCGTGGCATAAACCCAGATGAGGCTGTAGCTTATGGTGCTGCTGTCCAGGCTGGTGTACTCTCTGGTGATCAAGATACAGGTAGGTTAATGTTGCAAGCATCTTTCACAGTGCCTCAGCAGCTTGATGGGAAGAGTATAATTAGCTGTTGCTTTAGAAAGCAATAGAATATGAGCAACAAGGTCACATACCTAGTAAAGGGTACAGTGAGGTCAAGACCTGGTGCACTTTTAAGATCCTTAGCAACTATATTTACTTAACTGCTTCTAAAATGGTTTTGTATAGAACCTAACCAAATAGAAAGACGGAGGAGATAAAGTTGTATTGGTCATGGGGAGACTGCTTAGTAATTCTATGATTCTTTAATTAGAAATTAACTCTGTCATTACCTTTGCAGGTGATCTGGTACTGCTTGACGTATGTCCCCTTACGCTTGGTATTGAAACTGTGGGAGGTGTCATGACTAAACTGATTCCAAGGAACACTGTGGTGCCCACCAAGAAGTCACAGATCTTTTCTACAGCCTCTGATAATCAACCAACTGTTACAATCAAGGTTTATGAAGGTAATTACTTATATTTGTTAATATCATGGTATGTGTGTGAACAACATGACTTCTTGCTTTTAATATACTCGATTGAATTGAAAAAAATTGGGAAAGAAATATCTGTGTTTTCAGATGGGGGTCCCTAACTAGTGTTGGCATTAAAATCTAGTTCTTACCTAGCTTCCTAGCACTACTACCCATTAAAAATAATTTCTGAGCTAGCTCTAAATTATAAGAACAAGAAAAGGGTTCATGTAAAGCCGGTGAAATTCAATTAAAAGTTAGTAGGAACGCCTGGATGGCATGGCTCAGTGGTTCGAGTGTCGTCCCATGAACCAGGATGCCACTATTCCATTCCCAGTCAGGGCACATGCCCACAACCCAGTTTGGGGCGTGCAGGAGGCAGCTGATCAATGATTATCTTCCATCATTGAAGTTTTCTCTCTCTCCCTCTCCCTCTCCCTCTCTCTCTGATATCAATAAATATCTCTCTCTCTCTCTCTCTCTCTCTCTCTATATATATATATATATATATATATATATAAGAGTTAGTAGGAACTTAATTCACTTAGTCCCATTTGTTCCTTATAGACCCATGACACACTTCTGGCTTGATAAGAGTGCCCTTGCCACTGTAGGCTCTGACAGACTGAAATGCAAGGATCCACGTGTACTAATGTTGGTCATTAACAACAAGATTTTTATGTGTAACTTCTAGGTGAACGCCCCCTGACAAAAGACAATCATCTCCTGGGAACCTTTGATCTGACTGGAATTCCTCCTGCTCCTCGTGGGGTCCCACAGATTGAAGTCACCTTTGAGATAGATGTGAATGGCATTCTCCGAGTGACAGCTGAAGACAAAGGTACAGGCAACAAAAATAAGATCACAATTACCAATGATCAAAATCGCCTGACACCTGAAGAAATTGAGAGGATGGTCAATGATGCAGAGAAGTTTGCTGAGGAGGACAAAAAGCTCAAGGAGCGCATTGATACTAGAAATGAGTTGGAAAGTTATGCCTATTCTCTAAAGAATCAAATTGGAGATAAAGAAAAGCTGGGAGGTAAACTTTCCTCTGAAGATAAGGAGACCATGGAAAAAGCTGTAGAGGAAAAGATTGAATGGCTGGAAAGTCACCAAGATGCTGACATTGAAGATTTCAAAGCCAAAAAGAAGGAACTGGAAGAAATTGTTCAGCCAATTATCAGCAAACTCTATGGAAGTGCAGGCCCTCCCCCAACTGAGGAGGAGGAACCAGCAGACAGGGATGAGTTGTAGACACTACTCTGCTAGTGCTGTAATATTGTAAATACTGGACTCAGGAACTTTCGTTAGGAGAAAATTGAGAGAACTTAAGTCTCAAATGTAATTGGAATCTTCACCTCAGAGTGGAGTTGAAAATGCTATAGCCCAAGTGGCTGTTTACTGCTTTTCATTAGCAGTTGCTCACATGTCTTGGGGTCGGGGGAGAGGAGAAATTGGCTGCCGTAAAAAGTGGATAAGAAGCTGGTTAGGGCGTGTGTTCACCGTGGAAATGTTCTATTTAACAATTGGGTCATGTGCATCTGGTGTAGGAACTTTATTTTCTACCATAAGTGACACCAATAAATGTTTGTTATTTACACTGGTCTAATTTTTGTGATTAGCTTTCTAATTAGGTCAATCATTTATTTTAGGTTTAGATTCTTATGGGGGGTGAGGGGTGGGGTTTTGAGGTAACTCTGGGAACTTGCCTAACTTCAATTTAATTCACCCATATCCTCACTTAGGCAAGGGTCATTTCACAATGCCCAAGAGTGGTGTTTTCTGGAACATGTTTGAAATGTCCTATTTCCCCTTATCCTTCTAAAACTTAACTTTCTGATGGCTTTTTATTTTTATTTTTGGATTTTTATTATTGATACTTTAGGTTGTTTGCATTTTCTTAAGACTTGAAAGAGAGATCACTGACGTTAACTTTACACACTTGAATTCATTATTTTAGGGTGTAAAGGTATATTTTGAACTTTACTGTCAGAATCCCCATCTGAAATTTCTCACTACCAAGGGCTACTGGAGTGGGAGCTAGGATGGTGACCTTGAAATAACATTAAGTTCCACTGCAATTGTAGATCAAAGGCAGTCATTGATGTCATAACAGGTTCAAGATTACTTGGATTGGCTTCCCGAGGAAGGGGATGGTCGTGAATAAGTAGTATGATCAATAAGGGGCAGGCTATTTGGCACTAACATGATATCCAGTAGGACCCAAGGATAACTGTTTTTAGATGGGCAACTGGCCAGAAGGTTAATTTGCTAACGGGCAGAACTGGGACCTGATGGCACGATGGTGTTACTCTGAGGCCAGAACCTTGGCTGCAATGCCCAGAAGCATTTGGGTAGGCCTGGAGTAATACTTGTCTTCAGGCCAAGTTAATTCAAGCAATCACAGTAGTGCTGTGTGCAGTGGGGTTAGTGCAGGGGTGGGCAAACTTTTTGACTCGAGGGCCACAATGGGTTCTTAAACTGGACTGGAGGGCCGGAACAAAAGCATGGATGGAGTGTTTGTGTGAACTAATATAAATTCAAAGTAAACATCATTACATAAAAGGGTACGGTCTTTTTTTTTTTAGTTTTATTTATTTCAAACGGGCCGGATCCGGCCCGTGGGCCATAGTTTGCCCACGGCTGGGTTAGTGGGTAGTTGGGAAAGACGGACCAGTCTTCTTTCCTGACCCCAATGGTTCTCACTACCAAATGCCAATAGTCTGCACCTTTCTGAGGAGCAGCTACTGAATACTGAAAACACTTGAACCTGTAAATATCACACTGATTTATACAGTTTATGTTGTACCTAACAATCATGATTTCAACATTTAGCAACCAATCTCACCTAGGGTGTACTGCTGGTAAAACCTTTTATGTAACAGGTTTTTGCACTGGGCTATCCAGTTCATTTCCTCACCTACCAGAGTAGATAAGAGCAAGAGGGTTATATAGTCAAAATATTTTGGAGTTATAAAACAGCTTAGGTTTCACTTTTCTGAGAGTAACTGACATTTAAAAGTATCAAAAATGGTGGGTTTTATTAGTCAACTACAGTCACAATACAATCATCATAGATTTCCCCTTCGGTATTCATCCCACCAAACACAAAACAGAGCAGTGAGTCAGTCTGACTTTCCTCATGTGAGTCACCATCTTGGGTCACTCCTTTGTCAGCGGAGTTCCCTTTCTCAGCATCACAGTTCAGAGTGACAGGATTTGGATCTTCCTCAGAAGTGCACATCACTGGCCATGGAATGACACACATGCAATGGTCCAATCGTCCTCGGGGTAGAGAAGTATCAAATTTAAGTAAGGTCCAATGCTGCTTCTCTATGTTAAGAACAAACAAAAAGGAAATGAACAACAAATGCTAATGGTAGTGTTACTGCTTGATGAAGTCATTCCCTAAAAGTTTGGTTTTCATTCCCTTGGATTTAGATGTGGAGGGACCAAACAAAAACCAACGCACTGTGGTACTTTTAAAAAAATAGTCACATCTATAATAATAAAAGTGTAATATGCTAATTAGACCAGACAGCCGAATGACCTTCCGGACAAAGCCAGGGCTGCGAGAGCCGAGCCCCTTGCACGACTTCTGTGCATCAGGCCTCTAGTTTGTTTATAAAGACCCATGGCTCTGGCCACATAGCTCAGTTGGTTAGAGCATCATCCTGATACGCCAAAGTTGTGGGTTCCATCCCTGGTCAGGTCACATGTAAGACTCAACCAATGAATGCATAAAGCATAAATAAGGAACAACAAATCAATGTTTCCTTCTCTCTCCCCCTTCCTCTCTAAAAATTCAATCGATAAAAAATTTTATAAAGACTCCCAGGGTACACCTACTCACCTGTGTGATATTGGTACATTGTGTCCAGTGCTCCTGTGGGAGTCATCCCTCCGAAGACATACAGGTGTTTCCCCACAGCCACAGCTGAGTGGGCAGCACAGCCTGTGGGAGCTGCCCCAGTGGGACTTAGTTTCTGCCACTTCATGTCACCTGCCAAGAGAAAGAAAGTGGGCACTCCATAGCCTGCAATGTGCTTTCAAACTTACCAGACTCCTACAGTGCACAAACCCGTCACTGAATGTCACTGCCTAGGAGTGCTGAGAGGCAATACACCAAGGTTAGTGTGCATAAAAATTACTTGGGGGGAGTTTGAAATCTGGTTTGGGTCTCCAGGAAGGGGACTTAATCTGCAGTTTCAACGAGCATTCCAGATGAGTCTGACGTAGGTGGTCTTCAGAGCACACTGAGGTCACCTTTGGTGACTATCACCTTTAGGTATCTTGGAGCCCAGCAGTAGGTGAGGTTACATGTGCGTGCATGTTTTACTAGTAAATACTAACAGTTCTTTAGAAAGCAACTTTGCCAAGTACTAGCCAGACACTTTAAATATCGTGCTTGCTTAATGCTCATAAAGACCCTATGAAATTGCTATTGCTTCTGCCTACCCCCTTTCTCACAGATAACAAAACAGGATTAGAGAGGGAAAGAGACTTGTCAGAGATCCCACAGCGAGCACATGGCAGAGCTAGAATTGTGCTCGGGTCAGACTCCAAACCCTGTGTTCTCTATACTGTAACTTTCGGCCTTCCAAACTATTTCTGCATCTTTTCAAACAAGCATTTAAATGAGGCTGGGACTCACTGGATTTTGGGGTTAGAGATCCACCTGGTTAGGAAAGTAGGAAAAAGAGCCAGGAAGTAGTTTCTCCGCACAAGAGATAAGGACTTTCTTTTTAAAAGTAAGTATTTAAACCTCTTTTGACTGCCTGCAAGAAACACTTCTGTGAAGATATTTTCCATCTGTCAATTCAAGACAGGGGTCCAGAGTTGGAAGGGAGAATCACCCAGTTCTGACAAAATTCTAGTCAATGCAGTAATCCCAGCCAGTGTCACCTGGCCTCAGATGTCACCAAACCAGAGAACCCATTGTTTGGCAAGGTAGATGGATACACTGCACAGCAGTTCTCATGCCTTCTGGCCACTGCTCCAATTCTTGTAGTCTGGACCAACCCAGAACATGTTCATTTGTTCGTCCATCTATCCTTTTCTTTTTCTTTTTTCTTTTTTTATTCCATCTATCCTTTAATAGCGGTTGCCAAGCGGTGATCTTCGGATAAGCACTCATCACCAGGACACTGAGCTAAGTGCTACAAATACAATGGGGAACAAGAGAGACCAGGTCCCTGTTCTAAGGAGCTCACAGTCTGAGAGAATGACCCAGAAGGAGTCCAGGCTTTCTAGGGCACGTCAGCCCTTCAGACACTTTAAGACTATTCTCATGTTCTCCCTAACTTTTCTCTTCCCCGTGTTTTTAACTAGTTAGCATGACAGTTCTGGTCACCCGCCTCCAGACACACTCTAGAACAGTCGTTCTCAACCTGTGGGTCGCGACCCCTTTGGCGGTCGAACGACCCTTTCACAGGGGTTGCCTAAGACCATCCTGCATATCAGATATTTACTTACGATTCATAACAGTAGCAACATTACAGTTATAAAGTAGCAACGAAAATAATTTTATGGTTCCACAACATGAGGAACTGTATTTAAAGGGCTAGAAGGTTGAAAACCACTGGACTAGAAGTTGTCGATGCCTCTCATGGGCCTGGGGTTGATGACTAATGTCTGAAAGAAACCCAGTTGGGGAACACAAAGTATAAGGAGTTTTACTGAAAGAACAGGATTGTTGGATGGATGAGATCATTAATAGCTAGCCACATAGCAAAAGCTCAGATGTAATTGCTTTTATTGTTATTTAGTAGTAGTAGTATTCAGGCCACATTTGACAGACTAGTAAAGATTACCCACATCTGGGATTAAGGCTATCTTCTATCAAAGCACATTTTATTTAACTTTAAGCAGACAAGTTCCCATGCCCTCCACCCTACTTACTTATATCAATGCAATGAAGATCATCATAGAATCTGTCCCCTGCCAAGCCTCCATGGATGAAGAGCTTCGTCCCTGCTGCCACCATCACGTGACCATGCCGGGGGGATGGAGGTTTTCCAAGTGTCTCTGGCTGTGACCAGGTCAGAGTGTCTAGAAAAGTAAATTCATTGATATCAGATGACAAAGCTATGAAGCAAGAACACAAGAAATACACCCAGCAAGCAGAGACGCTCCAAGCAGAACATGACCTTGGACTCATTCACTCTGACCCATCAACCCAATCCAGGCCTCCCTCTCTCCACAGCCGTGCAGCCTCTGCTTGGCTACTTCTAGGGCTGGACATGCCTGCCCTTTCTACTGGGCATTAGGAAATCATTCCCAGGTTTCAATTTAAAAAGACCTCCATCTGGTTGAGTCCAGGTCATGTGGCTTCAAAGTTCATGCTTTCAACCACTAAGATCTACCCTTGTCCCTGCAAATGTAAGCTGCAGAACAGTATTTGTAATTTGATTCCATGTGTGTGTTTTTAATAATTTGAAAATTCATACATGTTCATATATACTTATATATATGATTTACAAATGCATAGGGAAAGTCTGAAACTGCCAACAGGGTTTACCTCTGTCTGGGGAGTGACAAAGAAAGGCTAATGGAGGAACTTTTATCTTTTTACTTCATAAACTATACTGTTCCAATTTTTTAAATTGACCATTTATACCTTTTTAAATGCAAATTTTCTGTGGGAAGAAGGTATCAGTTAAGGGTTATACTAAAGAAGTCTACCTAACCAGTTTGGCTCAGTGGATAGAGCATCTGCCTGCGGACTGAAAGGTCCCAGGTTCGATTCCGGTCAAGGGCATGTACCTTGGTTGCGGGCACATCTCCCAGTAGGGGGTGTGCAGGAGGCAGCTGATCTATGTTTCTCTCTCATTGACGTTTTTAAACTCCTCTATCCCTCTCCCCTCCCTCTCTGTAAAAAAAAAAAAATCAATAATATATATTAAAAAAAAAAAAGAAGTCTAGAAGTGAGACACTCAGTCAGGATGTCATTTTCTTTTCTTTTTTTTATCTCTCACCCAGGATATTTTCCCCTGATTTTTATTTTTTTAAAATATATTTTATTGATTTTTTACAGAGAGGAAGGGAGAGGGATAGAGAGTTAAAAACGTCAATGAGAGAGAAACATTGATCAGCTGCCTCCTGCACACCCCCTACTGGGGATGTGCCCGCAACCAAGGTACATGCCCTTGACCAGAATCGAACCTGGGACCCTTGAGTCCGCAGGCCGACGCTCTATCCACTGAGCCAAACCGGTTAGGGCTCCATTGATTTTTAGAAAGAGTGGAAGAGAGGGAAAGACAGAGAGAAATATCAATGTGAGAGAAACACATCAATTGTTGCCTCCTGCACATGCCCCGACCAGGGCTCAGGCCGGGGAGGAACCTGCAACCGAGTACATGCCCTTGACCGGAATCAAACCCGGGACCCTTTGGTCTGCAGGCCGACGCTCTATCCACTGAGCCAAACCGGCTAGGGCCAGGATGTCATTTTCTTTTTAATACATTTTTATTGATCTCAGAGAGGAAGGGAGAGGGGAAAGAGAGACAGAAACATCAAAGATGAGAGAGAATCATCGATCTGCTGCCTCCTGCACAACCCCTACTGGGTGTCAAGCCCGCAACCCGGGCATGTGCCCTTGACTGGAATCGAACCCAGGACCTTTCGGTCTGCAGGCTGATGCTCTATCCACTGAGCCAAACCAGCTAGGGCGTGGATGTCATTTTCTAACCTCTGCTTCCCACATCAGGTCAGCTGTGGACCAGGAAAGTGGCAGCCCTGTGTGGCCCACCCGTCCATACTTGCGTCAAACACATGAAGCTTCACATCCTGCACGGGCTGGGTGCCTCTCTCTCCGCCCCCAAAGACATACAGCTGGTTTCCAATGGCTGCTGATGATGTGTGGAATGTTCGTGGGGACGGTGGGGGGGTGGTCACCTCTGGCGTGGTCCAAGTCCTGGTTTCTGGTCCAAAGAGAATGAGGGCACCTAAAATAACCAGACTGAGGGGCCTCTGACCTTGACTTGGGCTGGGCAGCATCACCTTTCAAACCCCAATCCCCAAGGGGAGCAGTGCAGGTCAAGGCAATGATCTCAAACCCCAATCCCCAAGGGGAGCAGTGCAGGTCAAGGCAATGATCTCATGCCACCAAAGTCAAGGATAGGTAAGGGGTAATTCTTAGAATTTGCCCAGATAAATCCAAATCTCCAAGAATGAAAAGCCACAATTACAAGTAAGAATGAGGTCGACTTGTTTTTGGAGGCCTTCAAACATCCTCTTTGAACCCTCTTCCACTCTGCGGACTCCTGCCCTAGGCCATTCAGAGGAACCCATCATCAGATTATTTATATATATATATATATATATATATATATATATATATATATATCTCCATTAAAAGAAAGTAGACAATAAAAAAAGAAAAATAAATAAAGTGTTTTTACGGTTTCAGTGTTTTTACTAGTAATTAGTCCCTACTAAATAGTAAGTGCTAAATAAGCATTAGTTTTCCATTTTACAGATAAAGGGATTGAACAGAGATAGATGAAGTCATTCATTTAAAGGTGACATGGCTAGTAAATGATTGATTTGGGATTCCAATTCTGTTTCGATAACACTAAGATCTAAGTATTTTCCACTCTTCTGACTTGAGAATAAAATTTTATCACCTGGGTAAGTATATAGAAGCTTATTTCTTTTTAGAATGATGTGTGAATTTTATAGAAATTAATGCATTAACTGAGCACCTTCTTTGTGCAGAATTGTTGCCTTGTGCACTCTGCCATCCCCACTAAACTCACTCAACCATGGGAGGTGGACAGAAAGTATCTCCACTTTGCAGATGAGGGAACTGAAGCTCTTAAATCCTTTCCTCAGGTCACAGGGCTTGTAGAGTAAGGGTTTGAACTAAGATCTGTCAAGGCTCCCACACTCGTTCTACCATAACACACCAGGAGTTATTTCTTGCCTGGCAAATTCTGTGCCTTTTGTAAAAGTCTTCGTTCAATATACAAAGTGACCCATGACGCCTTTGTAATATGTGTGGGACTCAGACATGAACCTGGAGACCAAACGAGTCTCAGCCTATATCCCAAGCCAAATGAAAGTGTCTCTATAGCTACAGAGCTTGGGGAGCTTTTGGGTCTTAGGGGGAGTTAGAAGGCCCACAACCTCCAGAGTCAGAAGGCCCTGGGATGGTGTTGCTGCCAAGTCAAACAGCAGCACACATAATCACAAGGGAGTTCTAAGCCATTCGACAGACTTGTCTTAGTAATAAAAGCAACTAATGATTCACTTTCATTTTTCACATTTCTTGGGCACCGTGTCAAATTATGCTTTCTAGGAGAGAAAAAGGATCTAGTGGAAAAATCTAACTCCTTTGACAGAGGCATTCCAAATTCTCAGTGCCCTTTATTTAAACAGATGCCATCATTGAAAATCAAAAGGCCAGGGTTCAAGACGGATTTCCATCTGCCAAACGATAGCTACATTAACCACAACAGCCATTACTGAGCATTAACCTTGTGCCAGATATTGAGTTAATTTAAATCCTTGCCAAACTCAACAAGGTAGGAACTATTAATATCCCAAAGTGACAAAGAAGACCAACTATTGTGCAAATAAGTCTATTGTTGATAGAGGGACTGGGCAAGAGTTGACTGTCATGTGAAAAAATGTCCAAGTTACTAGTAATTACCAAAATGAGTATTTAAACAATCAGATACAAGATGTTTTTGCCTAATTAAATTAGCAGTGTTTAAAATGACAAATACAGTGTCAGGAGTAAAACAGCACTATTAAACACAGCTGGAGATAAGTTCAAAAAAATCTTTCTGGAGAGCAATTGGGTAGCTCATATCAAAAGCCTTAAAGTTCACAATGTTTTGCTTTTTTTTAATTTTTCATTTCTGGGCATCAACTCTAAGACAATAATTTGAAATACAGTCAATGTCTTCTGAACAAAGAGGTTCACTGCTCTGTTATTTATAATGGCAAGAACCTGAAAACCTAGATTTTAAAAAACAGGAGAATTATTGTATTGTCATAAAATGGAGTGTTATGCAGCCATTAAAACTGATGTTAACAAAACACTGTTATTAATAGGACATCATTTATGTAAGTAATTATGAAATTAAAAAGAAAAAAGTACAATAGTATAGTGGTGAAAATAGTATGATCTCAGGCTTATAAAAATGCAGACAAAAGACAGAAAGGAAATACACAGAAATGTTAATAGCCTTAATGTCATAGGATTGTGGATAGTGTTTGTCCACTTACTTACACTTTTCAAATGTTTTACAATGAATATAAATTACTAGAGGCCCAGTGCATGAAATTCATGCACGGGTAGGGTCCATAGGCTTGGCCGGCGATCAGGGCTGATCTGTGGGGCGACCAGCGGGGTGATTGGGAGCCCCCGCTGGCACCCACCTTGGCCAGCCCCGCCCCCCACTATCACTGCTGACAGTCACCTCCCACAAGGCGACCGGTGGGGTGATTGGGGGGTGGTGCCCGCCCACTCACTGGCTGGCCTCGCCCTCTGATCTCCCCACCACTGCCGCCGCCAGTCGCCTCCCTCTACGGGGCAACCAGTGGGGTGATCAGGGGACCCCCCTGCTGGCACCCGCCTTTGGCTGGCCTGGGGCATGTGGGCTGGGGGCAGCTTCTGTGTTGAGCGTCTGCCCGTTGGTGGTCAATGCCTGTCATAGCTACCGGTTGTTCCACTGTTTGGTCAATTTGCATATTAGGCTTTTATTATATAGGCTATGCATAAAGAGAAAACAACACACTATTTTAGCTGACAAAAAGACAAGTCCATCTCTCATGGGTGGTTCAGCCACACCTGCTCAGTAGTGATGTTCCTAAATTGCCCCTCTCTGGTAAAACTGCCAGTGAGACTAGCAGGAACTTTGCACTTCTTGGCCAACAAAATATACTAGGAGGATCTAGTATTTAAATGTTGGCATTTTAGACCAGATAATTCGTTATTGTGGGGCACAGTCCTGTGCATTATGGGATATATAGCAGCATCTCCGGTCTCTATCCAGTAGATGCCAGTAGCAAACTGCCCCCCAACCTTCCCAAGCTGGGATAACCAAAAATGTTTCCAGATATAGCCAAATGTCCGCTGGGGAGCACAATCACCACCCTGAACTAGGTAACCGGTTCTAGCCTGGCTCAGACTCCCTGGAGACTTTAGGAAAGCCACTTCCCCTGGACCTGGGGTGCCCCCTGGCATAGCTATTCTCTGAAGTCTCTTCCAGCTTTGGCTTTTAAGAAGCTGATAACTGAATATGTTACTAGGAAAACAAAATGCAATTCTGCTATTTTCAGATTCTGCTAGAAGTTAAAATTCCTGTTCTCTCTGAGGTCAGCAAAGTTCGATGGATAATTCAGTGCAATCCAAATGGGATTTGCTACAGGAAATGAACTGAAATTTTATTTATGTACTTAGGTAAATAAAGTAACCTTTGGCTACTTACCAGGATTCAGAACTTGTAGGCAATTTCGATTTCCTGACTGGTTGGCACCTCCAAACACCCAGATGCTGTGAGGTGTGCAAGAGGGAACGAAGCTGGCATGCTCATACCGGGGCAAGAGGCCCTCCGAGGTGGCTAAGTCCCACTGGTGTGTTTCTAGAAAACATTTCACCCAGTTTCTAGATTGGGGCTGCCAACTGTTTAGATTGCTTGGCAAACTTAGGGGAGGGGAGGGAAGAGAAAACAGTCAAAAGCATAAATGAACAACCATCAGATTACTTAAAGGGAATGTGGTCAAACTCCAAAGAGTTCTGTATTAGACACTTCAGGGACTATCCACAAACCCTTTTCTATGGAAACTGTCCCCATTTTCCCAACCACAGAGGTTGAACCCAGAACCTGTTTGTACTACAACACCTTGACTTTCTAGCCTTAGCTGATTGGGTCAAAGGTAGCCACTTGACCCCAAATGGGCCAATCAGATACTCTCTCCCAAGAGTCCAGAATTCAAACAAATTCCTGGACTTGGGTGGCCATCTTCTACCATGTGTGGACAGGCAGAGAAAGCCAAAGTATGGAGGAGAGAAGAATGAAATATCTACATAAAGGAGATCTCCCCAAAGAGAGTGAGAAAGAAAGTAGGTGTTTTTTGTTTTGTTTTGTTTTTACAGATCTCCAATTCCTGCTTCCTCTCTCTCCTGAGATGAGGCTGTATTTCCAACCCTTGGATTCCTCTCTTTATTGGTTTAAAAGAGTTTCTGCGACTCACAACTGAATTATTTCTGGCTAAAACAAGTTCACATAATAATAATACCTAACCCATTAGTTATTTTAGCTAGTAAACCATTTACATAGGACTTTCAAAGGCCTATCTTATTGGATCATTACAACCGTAAGTGAACCATTTTACAGGATACTGAAACCCAGCTGGTTTAGACAGATTAGCCAGACAAAGTTAGTAAGAGGTGACAACAACCATGTAACTGAACTAGACAGTGAGCTTCTTGAGGGCTAGAAGAGATTTGATTTACCTTTGATTCTGGTGCAGGGTGTAGAAATTCAGATACCTACACAGGAGTGGAGGGAATGTGGCAAATTGGAGCCTGAGAGCCCCATCGATAGGTGGCAGTCAGCTCCAAGTAATTGTTGCCATGTAGACACATAGGCCTACAGATGTCAGATCTTCCAAAATTATAAAAGAAGCCAAACCATTTCAATTTTTATATGTAGACTTCTGCACATTTGGTTGGCAAACAACTCAGATCAAAACAATCACAGCAATGGTACATGCACCTAACAAAACATGTATGAGTCACCAGTTTTCTCCTGCCATTGTGTATAGTACATAGTAGTTACTATTTGTTTATCCGTCCATCACTCCATTCAAATACTTATAAAGCACCTACTCTGTGCCAGGTGCTATTGTTAGTGGCTGGGGATACAATGATGAGCAATATAGCCATGTTTCTTGTTTCCAAGGAGCTTATACTCTTGTGGGGAAGACAGATGAGAAACAAACCCACGAGATAAGGAAGATAAGGATGGGAAAGTACAAGATACTATGAAAATATAGAGGGTGGTTGTGACATTGTGATTTATATTCAGAAATATATATATTTGACCTTCATCACTTCTAGGCACAGAGCTCCTAAAACCCTTGGAACTTCCTAAGTGGTAAGATCAGTAAAGGTGTCTTATGCAACAAGTCCCGGTCAATCACACCTGAGCTTGTTAGGGTGGTGACTTTATGAAAAGCCTCTAAGGATGAGACTGGTTGCCAAGGAAACCAACTCTATGATTAGAGGGTTGGAACTTTCAGCCCTTAACCCTGCCCCCATCTCTGGTTGTTACCTGTACTTCTGACTGACTGGTTATATTTCAAAGTTTCCCATGACCCCCTCTCCTTAGGTTTAATTAATTTGCAAGCACTGGGTCACAGAACTCAGAGAAACATGTTGCTTGATCACCAGTTTACTATAAAAGAATATTTAACTCAGGAACAGCCAGATGGAAGAGATGCATAGGGCAAGGTATACGGGAACGAAGGTGGTGCTTCCATGCCCTCTCTAGGTGCGCCACTCTCCCCACATCTCCATGTGTTCACCACCCTGGATGCTCTCTCTCTCTGAACCCTCTCCTTTTGAGGTTTTATGAAAGCTTTATTACATACTCATGGCTGATTAAATCATTGGCCACCAGCAATTGATTCAACCACCAGCTCCTCTCTCCTCCCTGGAGGTGGGGAGAGTATTACTGAAAGTTCCAACCCTCTAATCACCAGGTTAGGTGTCCTGGTGACCAGCCCACATCCTTAGGTACTTTCCCAAAGTCACTTCATTACTATAACAAAAGATGCCTTTATCACTCTCAATACTTTGGAAGTTCCAGGGGTTTGGGGAGCTGTGAGCCAAAACTATGGGCAAAGACTAAATATGTATTTCTTATAAATCACAATATCAGAAATCTGAAAGATGCATAGTAGCCAGGTGATGAGAAAGGGAAGAGCCCCCAAGCAGAGAGAATAATAATACATGCAAAGGTTTGGAGACCAGAATTCAAGATGTGTTCAAGAATCCAAAGGACACTCAGTGTAGCAAATGGGGATTTGGGAAAGCCATGAAATAAAGTTGGGAAAGGCTTGACATGCAGTCAATTTTGTATTTTAGACAATATTCTCTGGCTAAGTAATGGAAAATGCACTGTAGATGGGGCTAAACTTGGAAGCAGGGAGACCAGAGAGGAAGCTGTGGTAATCTAGTTGAGAGATGACAATTCTTGGACTACAGTGGTAGTGGAAATGGACAGACATGGATGAAGAGAGAACTATTTAGGGCTTAGTGATTGGATATGTGGATGGAAGAGGAGGTGGAGTCATCAATGTCTCCCGGAGAAATAGTTGATAAATGAACGGCTGGATGTCCAGGGCTCCATACGGACTCTTTTTCCCAAAACATGATGTACTGGTTGGGTGCTCTGCTGAGACCTTAGGGACCTCTCAGTAATGTTCATTTTCTTAGAGGAAAACCCTGCTGTGTGTGCTGAACTGGTGTTCCTAGGAATGCTCTGGTCCTGGCCAGCACCACAGAGCCCTGCTCTCTGGCTACAGGCACATGCTCTGCCGCTGCTGGTCTTACCCAGGTCCATGGTGTGCACATCGGAGAAGCTCCTGTTTGGATCTGCTCCCCCAACAATGAAGACCTTCCCTCTCTTGGCATCACCAACGGGGGGTAAATACGAGCAGCTGTGGCCAACCCGAGCACATGGGCTGTCTCCAGCGGGGGTCAACGTGTACCTGCCAAAGGAGGGGTGCATTCAGGAGGCCTGAGCAGAGAATAAGTGCAGCAGTGTGTTCCTCCTATTCCTCATGAAATATTCATAAGAATGAGGGTCTTATACAGACACAGAACACTTTAAACTGTGTCCAGCAAAGCAGCATTTCCACTTGCATATGACCTTTGACTTTCCAATTTTGTTATTACTTTCATCTCACATTAACCTAATGGTGATGCACTGGGGTAGTAACTGGCCCCATCTGGTGGATAAACTGACACCCAGAGACGTTCAGTGGTGTGTCCGAGCACAGGATGGTAGTTCTGAGCTTAGTTTGTGAATTCAGACGGACCTAGTTCAAGTCCAAGTTCAGGTGCTTTCTAGATGTGTGATCTTTTGGAAGCCACTTAACCTTTCTGAACCGAAATTTCCTTATTTGTAAAACGATAGCAATAGTTCTTACCTGTGAAGAGTAAGATGAAGTCTTGTAACAGTGCAGGGAAGGACTCGGTACATGGTGGCTAGAGCTCTATGTGCAATCACACAGGAACCTACAGCCCCGGCACTCTTGCCACTAGACAGCGCTGCTTCCTGCTCTCAAGTAATATTCACCAGAGTCTACTGATTTTCAGAGCTGATGGAAGCCAAAGCTAGGACTTTGGAAAGTCAAATACAGGATCCAGTTATTCCACTCTTTAAAGTTATTCTGAATTATGATTGAGAAATCATACTGGTTGGAAAACTTCCTGCTTGGAAAAGACAATCCTGTAGCTATTTTTGAGGCCCTGTCTTATCTGACCTCTTTGGCTCCTTCTTTCTTCTTGTACCTTCTCCTTACCTAGCTACTCCACTCTCCTCCTTTTGGGTTCAGTCCGCAGGCCGACGCTCTATCCACTGAGCCAAACCGGTTTCGGCTCCCACCAGCCTTCTAACCCTCAGTACCCTTGGATTGTCTTTTCAGCCTATGTTTGCTTACCTGATCCATTTTACCTGTATGGACGACTTCAGTTACCACCTATCTATATATTCGTCAGTGATTTCCAAAATCTTTATTTCTTTCCCAGATCTCTGGTCTGATGTTCAGATTCACAGATCCCATTACACCTGAGTAATTACTAACAACGTACCCTGCATGCTGCTAACTTCATTACAACCCAAGTTGCACTTAATCTGCACAAAACCCCTTTGAGGACAGTAAGTACTGTTATCATCATCATTTGAGTTTTACAACTGAGGACCCAAGGCTTGGGTAAGGTTAAATAACTTAGCCATCCAGACACATGGTGAATAAGACAACAAAAGGTCCATGCCTTCACAGCCCTTGAAGACTAGTTGAGAAGAGAAACATTAAACAGACAAGTTCACAAATATCTGTTTCATTTCAATTGCACTATAAAGGAGTACAGGGTAGACAGTATTAGAACATATCATAGGGGCACCTTACCCTGTAAGGAGGTAGGGGAGGGAGGTAGTCAGGGAAGGCTTCCTGAAGAAGCACCACTTGAACTGAAATCTGATGTATGGGTAGAAGTTAGTTGGACAAAGAGAGGCATGAAAGATGGAGGGAAAGAGTGATCCAGGTACAGCGACCAGCACATACAGTTGCTGAGTGGGACAGGGCAAGGCATGTTAAGGAAGAGAAAGAGAACAAAGGATGAGCACAGGGATTTGAGGTCGGAAAGACAGGCAGGGGCAGATCATGCAGGGCCCCGTGGGCCATTTTAAGGACTCTGGTTTTGATCCTAAGACCAAATGGGGAGGCACAAAAGGGTTTTAAACTAGGGAATGCCATGGTCAGATTTATGTTGTGCAGAGGGCAAGAGTGGACACAGGGAAGCCAGATTGAAGACTCCCTTGTAAGGTCCTACAGAAGCTCTGCCCCATCCATCTCTACAGCCTTCTATGGTCCCTGCTTCAGCACAGGTCACATTTCATCACCATCACCTGCTTCGTCTGTTAGCCCCCACTACAGTGAGACTATTCACCTTTGTATGTCCAGCACCTACACAGCAGCTGCCCCTGTCAGGCCAGTGTCAGTTATTGAATGAAGGGTTGATTGAGCACGCAGCCAAGAAACAGGGAAGCCAGTTAAATCCAAAGCCGATTCCCTGAATATCTTAAAAACGAGTCACAGCTTGCGGGGGAAGACACAGGGTTGAAGCTGAGGATGCCAGATGGCCAGGGCCTTCCTCTTCCTGGTAAGTGGATTTTAATAAAATCAACATCTGCTCTGATAATTATTGCCCCACTACCTTTCCTCTGAAGACCTTCTCAAATGGTTTGAGGCTAATTACCAGAATCTGCCCACAGTTTTATCTCTACCCTTTTCAATAGATGTTTAAATATGTTAGTAAACCACTTATAAATGAAACAAAAACTTATGTTTTCCTCTGTCTGCATCCTTCCTTACAGACCATGTTGCTTTCCTGGGCTTGTCTCCAGGCTCCAAGACTGGCAGCTGCTTCATGGTGTTCTACATACAAGAAAGAAAGGCACTTTTTAGAAATTTATGATTATCTTCTACCTAAAACACAGAATTAGGTCGCTTCCCTCTTTAAAACCTTTCCTGTTGATGTACCAATTTCGAGGATCTGATGAATTTGAATAAGCCTTACCAACCTTTTGATAGCAAGGTATATTTGAGAGGCAACTATAAACACAACTTTCTAAACACAATGACAGGAGTGTTTTGGCTACAGTTTTCAGTGTCTGAAATTTTCAAGCAGAAGAGGCATACATCAAAATAAATTTTCAGAGGTCAAGCTTATGTTTATCAAAAGATAAGAACATTTTCAAAGGCTGACAAATACTGAACTCTAGAATAAATCCTAGCCTCATCATCACATTCAAAGGTTTCTGGTATCAAACTTTTTTCCAGAAACTCACCCAGTTTCTTGCTATATTGAGTTGTTCTTGCTATATTTGTTGTTCCTCTAACATGACAAGCCCTTTCATAACTTGCATCTCCTGCTGTTTCCCTTACCTGAAATGTTCCTTCCCTTCCTTTCAACCAGCAAACTCCTAGGTAACCTCCACAACCCGGTTGGAATGAACCCTGTTCAGTAAAATCTTCATTGATTTGCTGCTTTCCACTTACCATCCTCAAATTACTTCCTTCTCCTTCTGAAGGTATCTATTAAACCACCATATTGCAGGGATCACCGTGAATGTAATTACCTACGAAAACGTCTCTAGACTAGATTCTAGTCTAAATTCCAAGAGAGCTGGGCCTGTCGAATGCCTTCAGAAAACCTACCTACGGGTCCGGCATGGAGTAGAATTGAAGGATGAACGAATGAAGAAAGTGGATGAGATTGCTGGGAGGTGAATGGATAAACCCAACCTTGGCCGTAAGCCAATGCCTGCTGTCTCCAAAGCCCAAAAGCTCAGTGGGATAAACTTCGTGTGGGCGGGGATATCTCCAGTCTGGTCCCCGCGTGGCAATGACAGGGGACAGGAGACAGGGTCGGGGGAGAACAGGCCGATCCCTTTCCATCATGTGCCCAGGCCAGACCCGGAGGAGGCCCTCCCCAACCCGGCCCGGGCCCACTTCCACGCCCCTAAAGGATGAGGCCGCCCCCGCCCCAGGATCGTCCTGTGACCCCCCAGCCCAGACCGCATTACCTGCAGCGGCTTAGGCCAGTCCCGAGCTGTGGCTCCGCCCCCAAGTGGGCGGGGTTTAAGCCGTCACTCAGTCCCAGACCCGGAAAAGCGAGGCAGCCAACTGCTCCCCCCCGCCCCACTTGCAGGGTCCAGCCCCCAGGGATCGCCCTTAAAGGGGGCGGGGCGGGGTCCTCGGGGCTGGGATGTAGGCGATTCATTTCCGGGGCACCAATTAGGGCTGTTCTTGGGATCTTAACCTGCCTGCGGAGTCAGAAAACCAGGGCTGCTTGGAAAGGACTTACAAGAGAAATGCTGGAGGTTGGGCGTCCACGTGGGTGACCGATTGTGGGTTATCCTAGAGGCGCTGGGATATTTTCAGTTCCAGCGGCTGTTGGAAATGGTTTCTGGATGAGATATGTAGATGGAAGCCCAGAGCTGCTTAAGAGAGCCGCCTGTGAATGAAGCCAACACAGGAATTAAGAGGGCCAGGAGATGGAGCGAGCCTGGATCCAGCCATGCCTGAAGCCAAAATTACCTCTTTGAACATTTCATTTATGTGAGCGAAAAGTTTCTTTTTTCTTAAGCTAATTTGACTTCTTAATTTTACTCCTTATAAATAAAAGACTCCTAATAAATGACCTCTCGGTAGGAAGAAAAAAAGGAAATGGTTTCTGAAAGGGAGAGTTAAGGATGCTTTCCCGAGTGAGAAATCTCCCTGTGCAGCCTTTAGGCTAGTTCAAGTTTTACCGCCTTTAACCGGCTGACTCACTCCAGAATTAGCGTGTATAATAACCATGGCAGGCACTATGGAGAACCAGACAAGGTCCTGGCCCCCCTGGAGTTTACAATCGAACTAGAGAGAGAGATTAAACAAAAACAAACAACTAGGTACCTTTGTAAAAAGTGCAAGGAATAGAAAGTCCGTCCACGAAAGTATGTATCCTTGGGTATCTATATTTTTCTCTGGGCCTCGGTGTCGCTCCTGTAGGATGGAACTAAGATTTCATAATCACAAGGTTATGATGGGGAATACATGAGCTAATGTATTTAATAAGGAGTCAGTGCCCAGCCGCTGGTGCAGAGCTGGTCCTCCGTAAAGTGTAATGTTCTTCCTAGCTATAAACCAACTCTAGACACCAGTCCTGAATGGGAAGTATTCATCTGCCTTATCTCTGGTCTCCATAACCATCAGTTCTCTGTGGCTTTCCTCAAAATGGATAGGTGGCTCACCTATGCCTATGTTTTAGAGAATCTCGAAACCACTTAGGAGGGTTGAGGCCAGTTGTAGCGTAGGAAACAGCCAAGAACAACGACAGGAGCTCCTTAAGTACAGCTATGGTAGCTTAGTGGGAAGAAGAAAAACACACTTGGGTTCAAATCCAGGCTCCAGCACTAACCATCTATCCCTGACATTTGGCAAGTTCATTACCCGCTCTGAGCCCTAGTTCCCTCATCTCTACAACGGGGAATAGTAATACCTACCTCCCAGAGGGAGCAGCTGTGAGGATTCGATAGTACAGGTGAAAAGCCAACTTGGTAAATCTTCTAGCTACTTGAAACCATTATGAAAATTTATTGACAAAATGGGATGTGAGGTCCGAGCTCTCCTCACTGTTCAAACACCCTATTTCAAACATCTGGAGTCTTTGTGACTACCCATATTAATGGGAAAATCTCCACTGACTGTCTGCCTAAGAGGAGTTAGGAATAGTCAGTCATTCTGATTTTCTTCAGCAAAGAAAACCAAGGCCAGGTTGGCTCTGCCTTATGCCCATGTGCATCTACATGGAGATTTTTGCTCAGAGCTGCAGAATGCTTTGACATCCCCTATGTCTTTTGGCTAGATCCATTTCAAGGTGACATGGTGGAGTTGTGCACAAACAAAAATTGGAAGAGGCTTGTGGGCGAAAGAGCAACCAGTTTTAATTGTGGAACCTATGCTTTTAGACTAGAAATCACATTTCAGAAAGAGCTGGAAGGAACTTTTGAGATCTGTTTTTATAATGGAAATCAAGGCCCAGAGAAATTAAAATGACTAACTCACGTATATGGCAGAACCAGGAGCCTACACCTCCTGCTTTGTGCAAGGAAGATTAATAGCATGTTCCAGTCAGCAAGCTCTGCACACTGGCTCTGTAAAAACTATTACCTCTTCTAAGACCTTGCCCAATTCAGGGATGCTTCCCTCTCTCTGCTCTGGATTTCAACAGTGAGGTTCATTGAATAAGGTGGGTCTGCAGAATGGAGCATCTTAATGCCAGTTTGGCAATGTGAACAGTACCACCTATTTTCACTAAAATGGTATCACTAAACCTGGATACCATCTGCTTTCATTACCTACCTGTTCACTAACTTATCAGCAAGGGAACCAATGATGCTGGTGACACCTTCTTTTCAAGCACTTTATTTGTCCTCCGTCCCAATTCTGAGAAGGTATTTTGGGTAAGATTCATTCCCAGTTACTGAGGTTCAGAGATGAAAAGTGAATTGCCAGCTTTCCAAAAAGGACTGTAATTTAAAAAAAAAGTCAAACAACAGTAGTATCTTTTGCTCACTTGGAAGTTTTTTCAACAAAAAACAGCATATTCTCCCTATACTTTACCCCTCTAAAGTCTTAAATGTTACCTCTTCAGAAAGGCCTTTCTTGTCCACCCAATACTCAGAGCTAACACATTGCACCCACTTTGTACATAACATTGGTTTAAACCCTTTCCATTTTAACTCTATTAAATGTCAGTACAAGCTTATAAGGTAAGTAGTATTCTTACCATCTCCATATGAAGTAGACACTGTTATTACAATGTCCATATTGTAACTGAGTAAACTGGTGCACAGAAAGGATAAATAACTTTGCCAAAATAACATAGTGAGTAAAAGACTTGAACTCTGGCTATCTGATGCTTGAGTTGGTTGGAGCATTTTTTAAAAATCCTTACTGGAGGATATGCTTTTTATTGATTATATTAGGAGAGGAAGGGAGACACACACACACACACACACACACAGAAACATCGATGTAAGAGAGAAACATCGATGGGTCGCCTCCCGCACATGCCCCCACCGGGGTTCAAACCGGCAACCCAGGTATGTGTCCTGCCACAATCGAACCCGCAACCTTTTAGCTCAGGGGATGATGCTCCAACCAACTGAAGCCACCCGGCCAGGGTCAGACTTACCTAATTTTTAATTAGGGAAGTTAGGGTGAGAGAATGCTTAAATGGGTCACAGTGAGAAACCAGGGAATGGCTAGGGTTACCTACTTCGTTGTTTTGCCTGGAAAAACCTCGCTGGGTCCCCAGAGGTGAAAGTCTGGAGAAAGAAAACGGGAGGAAAACAGGAGTATCTAGTATCAAAACTACAAATCCCAGCCCGCCCCGCGGCAGACAACTAAGGGTCCCGGCAGGTGTCATGGGTCCGAAGGAACCCCTCCCGGCCTGCTGCCGGAGTTCCGCGGGAGAAGGCGTGGGGCGTGTCCAGGCGGCGGGGAGACCTGGGTCAAGCTCTACGTCGCTGCGCAGCCGTCTCTCACGGGCCGGACGTGACGTAGGGAGAGTTCCGGCTTCGGCCTCTGCCGCTGCCGCCGCTACTTCAGCCCCTGCCACTGCCGCCGCCGCCGTAGGGGCTAGTTCTTTCTAAAATGGCGCCCCTAGACTTGGACAAGTATGTGGAGATAGCGCGGCTGTGCAAGTACCTGCCGGAGAACGACCTGAAGGTGAGCTCGGTCGGGGCGGGAGCGCTGCTGGTCGGGTTCGCCCCTTCCGGCGGTGGGGCGCCCGCCGGCCCGCCCTTCTCGACGCGGGACCCCCGCCGGCCTCTCGTCCCGTCTCGGTGGAGGGCCTGACGCGGTGCTGAGCGACCCGGTCCCTTTTGGCGTCGCGCGGAGGGCGGGGGTGGTCGGAAGAGCCGGAGTCCCCCGAGTGCCGTCCCGGTTCCGTAGCGGGTATCCTGAGGGATGTCGCGGCCTCGGCCCCAGGGTCGCCCCTCCTGGCCTTCGGGCCGCCGCAGGGACTCACAGCGGTGCAAAGAAGACTGCCCTCCTCTGACCCCATCCCCGGTCTCCCGGGGTCATCCCTCCGGAGCGGGTGACAGGAGCGCGGGGTCATCCCTCCGGAGGGGGTGACAGGAGCGCGGGTGGCCGGCGGGTGACAGATGCCCGGGCCATGGGAACGCGGCCCGGTGGGCGAGACGGGGAGAGAACGTCAGGGCGCCCCTCCGGTCCCGCCGCTCCTCCCGATTGTTCTTCCGAAGTGTCGGCTTTCTCCTGCCAATTCCGGTGCGAACGCCGTCCTCCCGGGCGCCGTTGAGCTCATTTAAGTGGACAAAGCAGACTTAAGTGGACACTTGAGTAGTCCCTCTATAAATTACAAGTTCTTTTCTGTTTTTTAAGTTGTTCCCCCCCCCCCCCCATCCCTTCTTAACTCGGGATTGCATTTTCTTGGTTTCTTCAAAGAGGTGAGTTTTTTGTTGCCGCGAGTCCAAGTAGCAGTAAAGGTGTGTGTGTGGCTAAAGGGATGAATGTAGGTCCTTGGACAAGTCTTGCTATTTTTGTGCGTTTGTTGAAACGAGGGCTTAGGTGCCTAGTTAGTGCTGCTCTCTTTTATTTGCTCAATTAACATTGATTTGTTTGCTGTGTGGCAAGTGGGTAAACTGCCAAGAGTTTTTGACATTGTTTTATTCTTTAAGCTGTGTTTAAAGCAATTTATCTCGGGGAATTTTTTTTTTCGCTTAAGGAAGATGTTACTGTTTTTTTCTTTTGCTGTCTCTTTTGGTACAGGAAGTTGATATTTAACGACAACCAATATGCAAAATGTTGAAAGCCGAAGGTGCTGTGGTGAATGTAACTTGTTTGTACTTATAGGTAAATGATGTGCACTATATTATAGGGGAGTCATTCTTGTGCATTTTCCCCCTAGTAGGATAATTTAAAATGAGGACAAAGCCAGTGTTAGTAGAAATGCAGCTTTCATGCTCATCTGAGTCCTTTGTGGCTTCTTTAGGAAACAAAGATCCAAGCAACATTGGGCCCCAGATCATGGAAAACTAACCAGGCATCTTTTGGTAGCATGGTTCATCCCACGAGAGAAGTGGGGTTTTGCATGTCAGTGAATCGAGGTGAAATTTTCTGTTCTTTAGCATATGTAAAGCTGTTTTAAGCTTTGTGTTTATAATTAGTAAAATGTTGCTTATTATAAAAATGTATGTTGATATTAACTTGAAATTGGATATTGAAATGATTTGGATGGTAATCAGTTGGATTTTCTTTGGACCTCTTAGTTTGATAAACAGATTTCCTTCCCACCTCAAGGAAATATTGTTAAACCATTTCGTTGCTCCTTGCAACACAAAATGGACTGTATTTGGCATGTATGTTTCTTAAGAAACTTTTTTTTAATCTTCTGGGCAACTGTTGGGGAAAATTATGAATTTTTCTTTTAAGCAAAGGCTTTTTTTTGGTCTTGGAAATGTTTTTGTCAAATTAATTTGCTCCTCTTTGGTATACTTAAAAAAATTTAAATTTGATTTTACTTCTTGGCATGAAGTGCAAACTAAAATTAGGCAGGCCAAGAAAGTATTCCAGGAGCACCTTTTCAGAGGCTTTAAAGCCAAAGTAAAAGATTCTGTGAGGAAGGAAAGTAATCATTGGGGCCACTTAATGATCATATGGAAAGATTTGTTCTGGTAGAAAAGACAGAAACTCACCGTGTTTTCGACTGACTAGAAGTTGGAGGTACTAAATAAAATAAATGCATAGGATATTCTAGATCTAATCATGATTTCTCTATGCCTAAATTGGAAGTGGTCAAATCACTAGTACTGAATCAAATTAATATAACTGTTTTGAAGGAATAAGGATAAAATATAAAAGTGAGTAAACAAAGTATAACCTTTCTTGAAAAAGAGGTCATGTGATTCTCATCCATAATAAAGGTTTCAGAGCTGATCATAGAAGATACAGATTCCATATCTGGCTCAGTGGAAGACTGAATGATAAAAAGCAGGTTTATTGAATATTTAAACTCAAGTACTTAGGCTGGTGATAGGTTCTATAACTTGAAGATTGTCAGACCTCTTAGATCAGCGGTTCTCAACCTGTGGGTCGCGACCCCTTTGGCTGTCGAAAGACCCTTTCACAGGGGTCGCCTAAGACCATCCTGCAGATCAGATATTTACATTACGATTCATCACAGTAGCAACATTACAGTTATGAAGTAGCAACGAAAATAATTTTATGGTTGGGTCACAACTTGAGGAACTGTATTTAAAGGGCCAGAAGGTTGAGAAACACTGTCTTAGATGGTTCTTAAAAGGGACATGTAAGCAAAGAAATTGCATGTTGAGTTGGTGTTCAGTTTTCTTACTGAGGAACTTAAGACAGTTACCATGGTCAGGGTTGGGAGAATACTAGTGTCTATCTCAGAGATGCAATACAAAGAATTGTGTAATTCCATGGTAACCACTTTTATGGATTAATAGTTGGTATAATCTTTATAGAATTCACTTTTTTGTTTAAGCCATCCCTGAGTTTTTTTGTATAAGGCTACCTGCTCTGCAAAGTTGTACCTCTGTCTGAAATGCCTCCATAAAGCTTCAAAGAATTCTCCCTTGCTTTTTTCCAATATTTGTTGAAGAACATTTCATAAATTCTCATTCAGCCTTCGTCTGATTTTATAGATTGTCATCATATATTGTAGTTTTTATCTTTCCATACATAGTTGTCTCTAACCTTATTGCATGTCTTATTGATCATTCTGTTTACTTGAGTTGTTTGGTTTTGCATTGTATCTTTCTTCAGGTAATGCAAGGAAAACTGAACATAGTACAGGACTTTGATACACACCATGACTTTATAAGGACCAGAAGAGTGTTTTTAAGACTGTTTTTGATAATGCCTTACATTTTGTTGGTCATTTTGGCCCCAGAATCACAGTCTCTTGTGTATTCTGAAAATAGTCTGTAACAGTGCTGTCCAGTAGAAATAAAATGCTCAGAAATATGAGCCACAAAATACATTTTTTTACTTTTTTAAATATTTTTATTGACTGTAGAGAGGAAGGGAGAGGAAGAGATAGAAACATCAGTGATGAGAGAGAATCATTGATCGGCTGCCTCCTGCACTCCCCCTACTGGGGATCAGCCCACAACCCGGGCATGTGCCCTTGACTGGAATCAAACCTATTCGCAGGCTGACGCTCTATCCACTGAGCCAAACTGGCTAGGGCGCAAAATACATTTTTTAAAAAGTGAAAAAGAAACAGATGAAATTAATTTTAGTACTATTTAACCTAATTTCATCATGTAATTAATATAAAATTACTAATGTAATATTTTCTTTTTTTTGTACTAAGTCTATGAAGTATGGTGTATATTTTACATTTATGACATGTTCCAATTAAGACCAGTCACATTTCAGGTGCTCAATAGCTACATGTGGCTGTAGGTATCTAATGGGATAGTGCACACCTCTAACAGCTCCCCAGCCCATTTCCTAGAATTGCAGAGCTGAGAGCGAATCAGAGTTCATCTAATTCTGTACCCTTCTCATTTTACTGAGGGGGTACTCAGCTTTGTAGCGTTTATGCTTTGTCTGAGGTTGTCCAACTAAGCTATGAATTAGGTGGGAAAGCCTCCTTGTGCAGAGCTCTTTCTGATTCAGTTAATAGCCTTTTTAAGATGACAAATAGCTTGCTTTTCTAGATATGTCTTCCACTTCATCACCTTTTTTTTTTCCTTAATCTTCCATTCTAAGCATGTTGGACTGCTGTCTTCTGACAACATGCTCTGTAATTCCTTGCCTCTTTGCTTCTTTTCAGTTGGTTTTTATCACCTATTTAATATGTACATAACACATATATGACATTATTTAATACTCTGTGGGTTGGGTACTAATATTTGCCTTGTTTTACAAACAGGTAACTAAAGCACAGACACATTAACTTTCCAAAGTCATGCAGCTAGTAAGTAAATGGATGAGCTGGGATTCAAACCTAGGCAAGTCTGGCTCCAGGATTCATGTCCGTAACTACCACTTATGCTTCCTCTATGCAATACCCCTCATGCCTCTTTTGAGCTTTAGCTCAGATGCCACTTTCTTCATGCAGGGTTCCTGGATTCCATAGATTCCATAGTCAGAATTATTAGTAATGATTAGAATTTACATAGCTACTTATAGTCTTCTGAGCACCTTCATGCCCATTCTGTCATTTACACAATCCTTGTGATAGGCAGAGTAGGTACTAAAGCCAGGAATTGATGAGGTTTAGGTGATTTTTACCTCAGTTACTCAGCAGAGTACATGCCTGAATTTAATTGCTAATAAATGGCTCAGTGGTTGAGCTTCGACCCAGGAACCAAGAAATCACTGGTTCAGTTCCGGGTCAGGGCACATGCCCAGGTTGCAGGCTCAATCCCAACTAGGGGGCAGCCAATAAATGATATTTCTCTGTCCTCAGGGTTTCTATCTCTATCCCTCTCCCTTCCTCTCTCACTAAAAATCAATAAAAACATATTTTTTTAAATTCCCATTCTTTTCTTTTCTATATTGACCTTTCCCCTATAGCACTTTTACTCCATTTTACCACTTACAGTATTCTGTCTTGTCTGATAGCAAATGTGTCCATCTCCACTATTAGAATACAAGCTTCTTGAGGGCCAGGGTCATATCTTTATTATATTCTCTACAGTATTAGAACATTGCCTTGTATGTGATAGACAATCAGTTAATCTAGATATGTCTAGATTTAACAACAAACATTTCTTTAAATGCTTCTTGTGTCAAGTACTGTTCCATGTGGGTGCTAGAGGTAGAATCCCATACTTGGCTCTGCCTTTGAGGGGCTCTCAGTGTAGTAGGGGAGATGTGAGAGGTAAACACATGATCATCGCATGGTGTGACAGGTGCTAAAGTAGAGGACTAAGATATTAGGAAACGTAGAAGCAGCATCTAATTCTGACGCTATCAAGGAGAAATGAGAGGATGAGCAGAGTTTGTTCAGGTAGACAAAACAGGAAGGAAAGAACATGCAAGCAGAATAAATACCATGTGCCATGGTATAGCTTAATCTGAAAGAAAGAACATAGTTGATTCGGGGAATTTGAGGCAGTTGGTATGCCTGGAATTGGTGCTGGGAGGACATGCAGAGGACAAAATCATGGCAAACTAGGCTGATAAATTTGGATTTTCATCTTTTAGGTGGTACGTGGATAAACACGTTGAAATGTTTTTATATTTTAGGGGAAAACATTCTGTGACTTTTTGATATTGTTTAAAATGTGACTAAAAATAAAGTAGATTCAAAGAAAACTATTATAGGAATACACTGTTGTATGTAGTAGGAGTATGACAAAATCTTGATGATGCTACTTGAATGGATTATGGAAAACACTGCCATAAACAGAGGAGTGTCCTTGAGAGATTTTTAAGGAAGTGACAGTAGGTTTTAGAAATATTATGGCAACATTGTGAACCATGAATTGGAATGGGATAAGAATGTCATAGAAACAATAGACCAAGTGACATGAGAATTTGAAGTATAATAGGACCTGTTGACAGAATAGGTCTAGGTCAGTGGTCGGCAAACTCATTAGTCAACAGAGCCAAATATCAACAGTACAACAATTGAAATTTCTTTTGAGAGCCAAATTTTTAAAACTTAAACTATATAGGTAGGTACATTGTTATTAACTTAATTAGGGTACTCCTGACTGACTGGCTCACTCAACTTGTGCATGAATCGCGCGCGCCTCCCCCGCCCAGCATCTCCCGTTGCCCAACCGACTGACACCCCCCACTTCTTCAAAATAGACTCGCCCAGGCCGAAAACCGACTTCTGCGCATGGGCCACGAAGTTTCAGTCGCACTGTACTTGCGTGCCTGCACGTGGTATTTTTATGGAAGAGCCACTCTCAAGGGGCCAAAGAGCGGCATGTGGCTCGGGAGCCGCGGTTTGCCGACCACTGGTCTAGGTTATGAGGTAGAGGGAAGAGTTCAATTTAATCTCTTAGTTTCTGGCATGGATAACTTAGTTAATACTATAACTAGATTAAGGAATGCAAGGGCGTTTGGTTTGGGCATACTGGATTTGAGATGCTGCTAAGCCAAGACATTGAGGTAGAAATGTTCAGAAGACTTGGATACACAGGTTGGTTAGTTAACAAATATTTACTGATTGCCATATGTGCTCCAGGCACTGTTCCAGTAGTATTAAGCTCAGGAGAAAGGTCTGTTACCAGTAGTTCTCAACTGGGGATGATTTGCACTCATGAGGATGTTTGGCACTGTCTGGAGACATTTTTATTTGTCACAGCTTGCGGGGTGGGGGTGGGGGGAATGTAACTGTGGCTATCTAGTGGGTGTAGAAGCCAGAGATGTTGCTAAACATCCTATAATTCACTGGACAGAGGCCCCCCACAATAAAGAATTATCAGTAGTAATGCTGTGGTGGAGAATTTAAAGCCCAGTGTATCTGAGGGACTAGAGGTAACAGGGGGACAGGAGCAGGAAATAGAATGGAACGCCCCAACCGGTTTGGCTCAGTGGATAGAGCGTCCGCCTGCGGACTCAAGGGTCCCAGGTTCGATTCCTTTCAAGGGCATGTACCTTGGTTGCGGGCACATCCCCAGTAGGGAGTGTGCAGGAGGCAGCTGATCGATGTTTCTCTCTCATCGATGTTTCTGGCTCTCTATCCCTCTCCCTTCCTCTCTGTAAAAAATCAATAAAATATATTAAAAAAAGAAAGTAGAATGGAACCATGAACAAGTATCTTGAGGAAAAGTAGACAAGGGAAGTAGGGTATCCTAAGAATGGGGGCTATGAACCCCTACTTGTTCAAGGATTAGGAATTAATTGGGCACCATGGGGAGAGGTGGGTGTAGTTTGCCCTAAATTTGGGGTAAGATTAAGAATCTTGCCTTAGTGCCTGTTTTGGAGCAGTAAGTGTAATCACGCTTCCTACAAACCAAGCAGCAAAACAAAGATGTGAAGGGCTTTGGAGGAGCTTCTCCCATGGCAAGGCTGGATTCTGTGGGGCCACTGTATGTATAGTTGACTGACATATGTAGACTTCGTACTGAGATTTCAGACTTCTTATTTTTGTGTTTGCTTGATATGAATTTGTAAGCTACTGCTGAACTGGAGAGATGAGAGGCAATGGCTTTAGCTTAGAGACTTAACTCCAAATCCTCAGTTGGGATTGCAGATGTGGCAGTTATAGGAGGCAGCTTTTACTTTACTCAAGTTAGTGTTCCTGACTTCAGGTTAAAGATGCTGCCTGAGTAATTTACATTCTCCAGGCCTTTGAGATTGGCAGGGTTTCACAGTGATGTTCTTTTTCAGTCTGCTGTTACTTTCAGATCAGTACGGGGGTATGGGTCAGTCTCCTTCAGTTCTGGAGGCCTCATGGGCTAGGAGAGCCAGTCATATGTTAGTGCAAATTCTGGCACATTCAAATATGGTAGCTATGAGATTCCCTCATGAAACTGTGCTGTGATTAGTTTAAAAGTGTTAATTAAATGATCACTTACTTTGTTCTCATAGGATACAGAGTGGTTAACAAAGATGCATTCAGTATAGCAAGATAAATATTCAGAATAAGTAAGAAAAGTGAGACAAAAAGAAAATAAAGATAGGAAACCACGATGAAGCCAGAAGTAAGAATATATATAAAATAAAAGCTGTGATGATCAGGTTACTTCTTTGAGATTAGGCCCTAAGTTTTCTGGGAGCGAACGAAAGGTAGGAACTGATCAATTAAAAAATCCAGAGTCTGCCCTAACTGGTTTGGCTCAGTGGATAGAGCATCGGCCTGCGGACTCAAGGATCCCAGGTTCGATTTTGGTCAAGGGCATGTACCTTGGTTGCGGGCACATACCCAGTAGGGGGTGTACAGGAGGCAGCTGATCAATGTTTCTCTCTCATTGATGTTTCTAACTCTCTATCCCTCTCCCTTCCTCTCTGTAAAAATCAATAAAATATATTAAAAAAATTCAGAGCCTATAAGATGATAAAAACAAGCTTCTCGGGTAATCACATTTATCCTTGATAGAGACATTCCTTCCCTGGGTCCTCCTTGAAGGCAACTGTTTAATCACAGCATCCTGTGTACCTTATTTATAGTCTGCACAGTGACAAGCTCTGTAGAGGACTGTTTCTACAATGTCCCTTACTACAGGTTGGTGGCATGACTGTAAAGTGCAGTCTGGGAAAGGAGGGCAGTATAATGCAGGGTGAGGACAGGCCTCTTTAGAGGACAATCTGACTTAATTCAGGGTGGAATTTATAATAGGTTTATTTGGGTAACATTTTAATAATTGATTTTTAAAGGAGTATAAACAATGGGGTCCTCAAATTTACAAGTAACCAACAGTACCTGAGAGTAAGCAAATAGAAAGGTCAACATTGCAGGAAACAGAGAACTTTTCTTTCCCAGAGATGCATTCTGTAAAGAAGAGTGGGAGATGAGCTTCTTTGGCAGCTTGTGTCAGAGGATGTGTTGGGAGAAACATTTAAATTGTATTCATGGTATGAGCTCTCACCTTCATTAATGGAAGTTAGGACTCTTTGTAAATGATGTGAAATTTGAAAGAGAGTGTGGATAGGACAAGTGCCTGAAAACTCTGTCCACTCTTGTACAAATGACAGCAAAGCACATCTACAAATACTTTTTTTTAAAATAGATTTTTCTGATTTCAGAGAGGAAGGGAGAGGGAGAGAGAGATAGAAACATCAATGATGAGAGAGAATCATTGATCGGCTGTCTCCTGCATGCCCCCCACTGGGGTTCTAGCGCACAACCTGGGCATGTGCCCTTGACCGGAATCGAACCCGGGACAGTCCTCAGGCCAGTGCTCTATCTACTGAGCCTAGACTAGCGCTCTACAAATACTTTTGGTGGGATTCTCTTTGAGGAGGTTTGGTGAGTGTACCTGAACAAATATTCCAAGTATTTATACCTAAGAAAGGTGGGTAAGCCCTACCTGGTTTGGCTCAGTGGATAGAGCATCCACCTGTGGATTTAAGGGTCCTGGGTTCGATTCCAGTCAGGGACACATGCGTAGGTTGTGGGCTTGATCCCCAGTTGGGGGCATGCAGGAGGGAGCCAATCAATGATTCTCTCTCTCATCATTGATATTTCTCTCTCTCTCTCCATTTCCCTTCCTCTCTGAAATAAATAAAAATATATTAAATTAAAAAAGTTGGGTAAGATTCTGAAATAGGTACTTTAAAACATCACTATATTGTTTTATTTTTGAAATTGTACAGTAGCAGAAAAAATTATTTTAAATATTAATTGCTACTCTGTGAAACTAACCTGAAAAGAGTAGTGCTCTTTATTCTGGCAAGATGAGAATGAAAGTGGTAATGAAAGACTATTAAAAACAACACAGGCCAAACATGGCATATTTGTTCTTTGGAACTAACCTTAAGCTACATGGAAGTGAGTTAGAGTTTGAAAAAATGCAAATAGTAGGTTGTAAACTTTGGGAGCTAACTACTGTAAACAATCCCAGAATCATCAAAGAGCAGCTTCCTATCAAACAATTTAAGTATTAGTTCTTGTTTTTTTGTCATGTGATCCTTAGTTTTAATATTGTAGTAAAAGGTTGCATTTTATCTTTTCTCCTTACAGCGGCTATGTGACTATGTTTGTGACCTCCTCTTGGAAGAGTCAAATGTTCAGCCAGTATCAACACCAGTAACAGTGTGTGGAGACATACACGGACAGGTAAAATTTCATAAGCAGATTTTTAGCTTTGTACTGTCCATAGTACATGTGTATTTCCATTTGTGCTGCAAAAAACAAATAAAAACAAACAAAAAACAACAGCTGGTAGTTGGCTAGATTACTTCAGTCTGTATGACTGTTAACTCTTACAGTGAATAAAGCAGTGGTCAGATTATTCATGGAGTTTGTTGGAATTATGCTTGCAAAGTAAATAGAATGCAGCACTATTGTTCAGTGGAAAGCGGGAGATATAAAACACAAATGTGGACTGCTCATAGTTATTATGATTAATTGGAGATGCTTTCCTTGGTGGGAATGAGAATAGCAAAGGTTCAGAAAGAAAATTGTTGGCGTGTGATTTCACAGCAAGTCACTGCTAGAATTTATTTTTTCATCTGCTGGGTTTTTGTTTGTGTTTGAGAGTTTCAAGGCAGGAAGGGCACATGTCATCTTTAGATTCTTGATGTCAGTGTTTAGCCTAGTTGGAAACCTGTGTGTTTATAAAGTTTTTTTTTAAATAGGGAAATGAAAGATGAACTGAATACTCATATCTTGCTGTATGCATATAATGGAATTTGGGCTACACAACAGATATACACTGTGAACAATATAGTATTTATGAATGCTAACAGGACTTACTGTCTTCTGACAATTTTGCCTTACATATGACTACTTAAAGGAGCAGAAATGTGGGTAAATAGATTGTGTTTAGGGGATGGCTGCTCAATGAGTAAAATCCTACTTTGACTACTTATAGGGTTCTTTTTGGCTTTCAGTCTGTTCTCTGAAGGTTGAGATTATAATAAATCTCACATCTGCATGTTCTCAGCTTCTAAATAGATACCCCATTATGTCAAATGTGATCTGTTAGTAGATTTTAGGAGTGAATTTCTTAAAATTTTCATGTAACTTCTCTCTAAAACTATAATAAACATTTATATTTTACATAACATAAAGGATATGAATATAAGCAGTTTCTTAATACATTCATAAGAGCTGGAATAAACCAAGCAATGTTTTCCTCTCTTAAAACATTAAAGTTGCCCTAGCCGATTTGGCTCAGTGCATAGAGCATTGGCCCACAGACTGAAGGGTCCCGGGTTCGATTCTGGTCAAGGACACATACCTGGCCCAGTCTGGGGCGTGTGCAGGAGGCAACCAATCAATGTGTCTCTTTCACATTGATGTTTCTCTTTCTGTCTCTCCCCCTCCCTTCCGCTCTCTCTAAAAATCAATGGAAAAATATCCTCGGATGAGGATTAACAAAAAAATAAATAATAAATAAAAATAAAGAAACTTAGTGTACTGATCTGACTTGCTTAAAAAAAAAAAAGTTGAGGGGTTGCCCAGCTGATGTGGCTCAGTGGTTGACCTAGGAACCAGGAGGTCACAGTTTGATTCTTGGTCAGGACATATGCCCAGGTTGCGGGCTTGATCCCCAGTGTGGGGCATGCAGGAGGCAGCGGATCAATGATTCTCTCTCATCATTGATATTTCTATCTCTTCCTCTCTGAAATCAATAATAATATATTAAAAAATTAAATTGAGGGGTTATCAAGAACTTTTCAATATGTGAATTACAGTCATGATCAAAGGTCAGGAACTTAGAGACAATTTCAGATTACGAAAATTAATTGAAATCATAAAATTGTACTTCTGTATTACTTCAGTCAAATGTATAGTATTTGCTAACATTTATCTTGTGTTTTGAGATTAACAAAGTGCTTTTTCGCATAGTCCCTGTAAAATTTTCTCAAGGGTTCTTTACGATTGGATCATTTTGTAGAGAAGGAAACTGAGACTAAAAGATTGAAGAATTAGCCCAAACTCTCACAGCAATTAAGGGACAGAGCAGAGATTTGAACTCATTTGGATGCTCAGTAGTCCATGTTAATTTAAGACTACCACCAAACTGTGAACATTATTTCATTTGTACTTGACCCTTTAAAACAATTGCTAATCAAAAACATGGGACTTGGAGAGCTTGTAACAGTCTGTTGATTGAGTAAACTAAATGTAAGATATGCCCTTTGGGACTTGTATAGTTGTCTTTCCCTTGGGCTAGTTCTGGAATTGCAGGATTGGGTTATAAGTATAAATAAACATGCTGGCAAGCATATACAGCTGTCCCTCGGCATCCTTAGGAGATTGGCTCCAGGACCTCCCACAAATACCAAAGTCCTGGGATGCTCAAGTTCCTTATACAAAAATGGCATAGTATTTGCATATAACTTACGCACATCCCCACATATACTTTAAACCTAGATTACTTGTAATACCTAAAACAGTGTAAATGCTATGTAAATAGTTGTTTAAGGAATAATGACAAGAAAAAAACGTCTGCACATGTTCAGGCCTACAATTATTGTAGACCTAATACATGGTACATGTCAACAGAAACATAACGTTCCCTGTTCCCCCACCCCTGGTCCCAAATATTTTCGATATACTGTTGGTTGAATGGGGATGAGTCTGCAATAAGAGTCTGGGAATCTGCAGATACTGCTAAGAAGCATTGAAGCAGTGTAATCTAGTGAGTAGAGGGTGGACTTCAGTGTCAGAGAGTTGGTTTTAAATCCTGACTGGGCTATGTACTGCCTGTTTAAAAAGCCACTTCAACCCTAGCCCTAGCCCGTTTGGCTCAGTGAATAGAGTGTCAACCTGTGGACTGAAGGGTCCCAGGTTCAGTTCCAGTCAAAAGGCACAGGCCCTGGTTGCGGGCTCGATCCCCAGTAGGGGGCATGCAGGAGGCAGCTGATCAATGATTTTCTGTCGTCATTGATGTTTCTATTTCTCCCTTCCTCTCTGAAATCAATAAAATATATATCCTAATAAAGAGGGAATATGCTAATTGATCCTCATGTCATCGCAAAATGGCGGTGCCCACAGCCAATAAGGAGGGAATATGCTAATTGACTGCCATGCCCTCAAAGATGGTGGTGCCCACAGCCACAAGATGGCAGCCCCACCGGGGCCTTGCCGCCAGCCTGCCTCCGAAGTCCCCCATTCCCCTCAGCCCCCTAGCCACCCAGGGCCGCCTGAGGCTCAGGTAACCAGGGCCGGCCGGGGCTTGCGCTGCTGGCAGTGGCAGCAGAGGTGTGATGGGGGCGTCGCCTTCCCCAGATTGCCAGGTCAGCTCTCATCCCTGAGGGCTCCCGGACTGTGAGAGGGGGCAGGCCAGGTTGAGGGACACCCCCTCCAGTGCATGAATTTTCATGCACCGGGCCTCTAGTGTGTGTGTGTGTGTGTGTGTGTGTGTGTGTGTGTGTGTGTGTGTCACTTCATCTAGCTTATAAGTTCTTTTTTAAAAAAATATATTTTTATTGATTTCAAAAGGAAGGGGGAGAGAGAGAGAGAGAGGAAAAGAAAGAGAGAGAGAGAGAAACATCAATGATGAGGGAGAATCATTGATTGGCTGCCTCCTTAAAGTTAAAATTAGCTGCTTAAGACTTATGAAACAGTTACAAGGGGGGAATGCTTTATTTCAGTAGTTAATATTTAAATGTCAGTTTTGTTCACTGTTACTAAGATTCCTGTACAGTTTTAACCATTAGAAATTTAATACTTATTAGTGTTTTATTTTCAAGTTAAAAAATAAATGTGTTGGAAATTATTAGTTGTGGTAGGTATAGTTTATTATAGAAAAACTGGTTTTCTTTAAGAATTAGATTAGGGAATCTAGTAGACTGGAGTTACCAAATGTGTAGTTTGTCATTTACCAATTTTTAGTCAAATAGAATTAGGTGAAATATGCAGTTCCTTTTTACTAATTATCAAGAAGACATTCTACATTTGTGGGGGCTGAGGGTCCACATCAACAGTATACTGTAGGAAGGTAGGTTGACCTGTTCTGTATCGTGAAAGTTTATTCTTTGAAAGAAATTTTTTACCCACTTCTTTCCTTATCTTTATCTCATTGAAATAGATGTTGAATATGTGATGGGATGGTTAGGTGAGCTTATTGACAAGTTACGTAACTGATAAATGATTTCAAATTCTCAAGTAATAGGTGAAGAGATAGATGTATGAAAGAAATTTAAGAGGGAGGCCTATAACATTAATGATCTAGGAATGACTTTAATGGTAACTGAGATTTATTTTAATGCTTTCCTTTTTTAAGGCTTGGAGCTGTGTGCTTGGCAACTTTGCTTATACTTTTTTCTTTTTATTGTTAGTATTTGAAGTTCTCATAATTAACTGCTTCTTTACACATTTTGCTCTCAGTTTTATTATTTTACTCCTTCATAGGAGTTTGTAATCAACATATATTGCCTTTCTTTTATAGTTTTATGACCTTTGTGAACTATTCAGAACTGGAGGTCAGGTTCCTGACACAAACTACATATTTATGGTATGTAAAAACCAGTGACATCAAGTACTTATTTAAAAAGGAAAAAGATCTGTCTTATTACATGTAAATTACATGATAATTTTATTACATGTGATAATCACTATTTAAATATCTAAAAAGGTGATTCTGTACCTTCCTACATTTTTCTGTGTCCTTTAGTTGAGAATAATTGCTTTAGTAAACTGCTGAATACGTAAGAATGGGTTGTAGCCCTCAGTAATGGTTGGGAAGAAAAATATCCTAGAACCGTTAGTTTAAGGCATACATCTTTAATTTATTGTTACTTTACCAAACTTTTTTGAGTATTCATATTTATGTTATTAATCTATGGATTGATGAATATGCATACAGACACATTTGCTATGAAGATGCATATTTGCTTACTTTCAGAATGTAATGTTACTGTTTTACTTTTTCTGTGTCTTCCTTCTGTAAGTTTCTGAGGCACTTTCCTATTATTCCTTTAGCTGTTTTCTTGTTGGTTTAAAATTGGCCCAAGTAAAACATTAATGGGAAGTATAAATAGCATGTCATCACATGCCATTGTTAAATACAAAGCTGAACATGGAACACTGTTACTAGGATAATTATGGTGTTTGCTTTTACAAAAGAAAACAAAACTATTCAAGTTGGTAGCTCTTCTGATTCAGTTAAGATATTTTTGAAATTTATTTAAAATTTTTGATTTACACATTATCTTTTTGAAACATGTTACTGTGGGTAATAGAGAATTGAAAAAATGGTGGTTTTGCAGGGAAAAATCATTGAAGAATTGTACTGCAGGTATGTGTAGGCCTCCTGAATTGTGGACTAACACAAACACTAGTAAAAACAGCCTATTTACTTCCATTGGAATTTTTTGTTAAAACTCAATTTCCAAATAATTCAGTGTGTATCTCTTCATTTTTGTTATTTTGGGCTGTGTCTCTGATTTTTGTGCACTTTGGTATAATTTTTAAAATATATTGTTGCCATTGTATTGTTTGTAACTGTAATCTTTTACTTTACAGGGTGATTTTGTAGACAGAGGTTACTATAGTTTGGAGACCTTCACTTACCTTCTTGCACTAAAGGCTAAATGGCCTGATCGTATTACACTTTTGCGAGGAAATCATGAGAGTAGACAGATAACACAAGTTTATGGATTTTATGGTAAGACCTTCTGTTTCTCTGATTCTGAACATTATTTTACATTCCTCTTTGGGGAGACAACACACAAGTCATACATGTGCTTTATAGTAAACTTAGAAAATACAGATAATCTTTTTCCACTTTCTCGCCCTTTAACTTTCTCTCTTCCCCCAATCAGTGGGAAATCTTACCATGGAGAGAGAACCATTCTTAAGTTTTTGGTGTACATCTTTCTAGATCAGTGCCTCAAAGCACTGTCCTTAGTTTGCCTTACTGGAATCATCTGGGGTGCTTGTTAGAAATGCAGATCGCTGGGCCCTCATTGTCAAAGCTAAATGTTCTGCATATTCAAGTTTAAGAATTTATTTTATATATATATATATATTTGTGTGTGTGTGTTGTATAATATATGTGTGTGCATACACACCACACTAAAATGGGATCACACTTGCTTTTTTCATTTAATATTGTGACCTGCCTTTTTACTTCATTAATTTTTTTTAAGGACATTTCTTTATTGATTCCAGAGAAGAAGGGAGAAGGAGAGAGAGATAGAAACATCAGTGATGAGAGAGAATCATTGATTGGCTGCCTCCTGCACACCCCATACTGGGGATTGAGCCTGCAACCCAGGCATGTGCCCTTGGCCGGAATCGAACTTGGGACCCTTCAGTCCACAGGCTGACGCTTTATCCACTGGGCCAAGCTGGCTAGGGCTTTATATTATACTGTATGGATATCCTGTAATTGATTTAACCAGTCCCTTTAACATTGGATATTGGAGTTATTTTTAAGTTGCTGATATACACATAGCTGAATTAATATCCTTTTATATACATACTGGAAGCCCATTGCACGAAGATTCGTGCAATAGGCCTTCCTTCCCCTGGCTGCTGGCACCGGTTTTCCTCCGGCACCCGGGACCCAGGCCTTTGATCCGGCCACAACCGGGCTTGGCTTCTCCGCTGCGGCTGCAAGCGAGGCTTGGCTTCTCCGCTGCAGGTGCAGCGGAGAAGCCAAGCCTCTTCAGTCTTCAGTCTTCAGTCTTCAGTCTTCAGTCTTCAGTCTTCACTCTGGCCGGAGCCTTCAGTCTTTGCGCCGCACCTGTGCATGAAATTAACCACCATCTTTGTTGGGTTAATTTGCATAGTCGCTCTGATTGGCTGGTGGGTGTAGCGGAGTGACACCAATTTGCATGTTTCTCTTTTATTAGTGTTGATATATGATATCCCAAGGATATATAAATATCCTTTTACATATATATTAAAAATGTGTGCTTGTTCCAGAGAATCTCAGGATATCAGGGATTAGAAATAGAACTCAGAAAAACAAACATAAAAACAGAAATAGAACTCATCCATTAAAAACAAAATACCTGGTAGCTTCTGCTTTGGCCCGTGTGGCTCAGTTTGTTGAGCATAGTCCTGTGCACCAAAAGGTCTGTTTTTTATTTTTATTTTATTTTATTGTTTAAAGTATTACAAATAGTAGTACATATGTCTCCTTTTTTCCCCCCACTGTAAAGGTCTGTGTTTTGATTTCTAGTCAGGACACATGCCCAGGGGATGTGCAGGAGGCAGCCCATCGATGTTTCTCTTTCTCCCTCTCTCTTCCTCTCTTTCTAAAATCAGTTAAAAATTTTTTAAAAATTATTTAAAAGCAAAATAGCTGTTTTTATAAAATTTTTATATGGTTGAGAGTTTTAATAAACATGGTTAAGAAGTTCTTTGAAGGAGGTAGACAGAAGAATTGTTGAGTTTATTAATAGGAATTTTTCCTTGCGCACAAGGTAGATATTGAGAGATTTGAAAATAAATTTATAACCCTTTAGTTTTAGATTTTACATTTTGAATTATTTTCTATCATTATAAAGATAAGCTGGACTCTCTTACTAGTTTAAGCTGAATTCCTGTTGTCCTAATATTTGATGTATTCTTCGTTTATTAACATTTTTATTCATTTATTATTTTAAAAAATATTTGTATTTATTTCAGAGAGGAAGGGAAAGGAGAGAGAGATAGAAACATCAATGATGAGAGAGAATCACTGATATGCCTCCTGCATGCCCCCCACCGGGGATCAGGCCTGCAACCCAGTCATATGTCCTGACTGCGAATCGAACAGTGAACCTCTGGTTTGTAGGTCAATGCTCAATCACCAAGTCACACTAGCTGGGCTATTTTTTTTTTTTTTATTAATTTAGAGAGAAGGAGGAAGGGAGAGCGACAGAAACATTGATTGGTTGTTCCACTTATTCATGCAATGAATGGTTAATTCTTGTATGTATCCTGATGGGATCAAACCCCCACCTTGGCATGTTGGGAGGATGCTCTAACCAACTGAGCTACCTGGCCAGGGCTGTATTCTTTATTTTTATTGGCAGATTCAGAATTTCATTACTGAGAACTCTCCTGTTTGTTTTATAGATGAGTGCCAAACCAAATATGGAAATGCTAATGCCTGGAGATACTGTACCAAAGTTTTTGACATGCTCACAGTAGCAGCTGTAAGTTTATATGAATCTTTCTAAAGCCACAACGTATTTTCTTGCCAATAACACTTTGCATATTTTTATCTAATTGCCATCTTAGTTATATTGATATTATTATGATTCATTGGTGAATTTGGATATAACTGAATTTATTATTATATGTTCAACTCTTTGTTATCCTTTTTGTTAGTTAATAGATGAGCAGATTTTGTGTGTTCATGGTGGTTTATCTCCTGATATCAAAACACTGGATCAAATTCGAACCATTGAACGGAATCAGGAAATTCCTCATAAAGGAGCATTTTGTGACCTGGTTTGGTCAGATCCTGAAGATGTAGATACTTGGGCTATCAGTCCCCGAGGAGCAGGTTGGCTTTTTGGCGCAAAGGTCACAAATGAGGTAAAGTCAACATTTTTGGAAAAGTGGTTTTTTGGTTGCTAATGAAGTACACAAAGAACTGTGGTGGCTATAGATAACAAACTTATAGTCTAGTTTACTCAAACTATGGTGGTTATGGATATAAAATTTCTCATCTAGTTTATCATATATATATATATTTCCTTAATAATCAAATGAGGTGAATAATGAAAGCACCTCCTTCAGCATCTACTTGGTAACATATGTAAAATAAATGTTTCTTTTCTTCCAAATATTGCAATTAAGTAATGAGATTAAGCAAGGGCAAGAAAGGCAACTTAAAAAAATATATTTTTTTTCATATTTATGTTTTAGTTGAGATACAATTGACATTTAACACTTAACATTGTATTAGTTTTAGGTGTACAACATAATGACTTGATATATGTGTATATTGTGAATGGGCAACTCTTTGAGGTTCAACTATTTACACACACACACACACACACACACACACACACAGATGAGCTATATTGGGAAGTAATCCAACGTGGAATCAGAGAGCTAGGTTCAAGTTATTTATTCTGTCTGAATCTGTTTCATTACACTGAAAAAGGATAGTAAATCTCAGAATTTTTGCAAGAATCATACTAAACACTCAGTAAATCATAGATATGGTAACAATATGTTTATTGTTAAACCATAAGAACTTTGTTTCATATCTGATAGTACTTGTAGGATGCTTTTCTTCCGGAAACTTCTAGTTATGTGACTGATGTTTTCTAAACTCTTTACTAGTCTCAGGCCACAATGACTCTATACCTATAACTCATTGAAATTATTGGGGGTAACTATAGAGTTGGCTTTATAATCATGAGAACCGTATTTAGTAACAGGATTTATACTTTATTTAAGTGTTTATTTTATTATATATGTAGGTTGATATTTTTAAAAAGAATATGCTGGATACTTAACCAATCCTTTCTAAATTGCAGTTTGTTCATATCAACAACTTAAAACTCATCTGCAGAGCACACCAACTAGTGCACGAAGGCTATAAGTTTATGTTTGATGAGAAGCTGGTAACAGTATGGTCTGCACCTAATTACTGCTATCGTTGTGGAAATATTGCTTCAATAATGGTCTTCAAAGATGTAAATACAAGAGAACCAAAGTTATTCCGGGCAGTTCCAGATTCAGAACGTGTTATTCCTCCCAGAACAACGACGCCGTATTTCCTTTGAGGCCTGCGCCCATCCTGCTGACCGGTCACATTTTCTGCCCTCTTCTTACCCCAACTTTCGTGTATTACCCTCTATAATATACTTTTTATTGAGCACTTTGCTGCTGAAATGCTGCCTCTTGCCTTTTTTTATTTTAAATTATCTAAATTTATTGTTTGTTATGGTGTCTATAACAATGTTTTCCTATCAGTTTTCTCCCCCATCCCATCCCCACCTTGGACTCATCTGAGAAGACTTGAGAAATGTCTTAATACTCATACTGCTGCATGTAGCTCTTGCTTATTTACTGGTCTGGGGGAAACAAGATGTGTTTCCTTTTTAAAAAAGCCAATTGACAGAACAGACGACACTGAAATACTCCTTTGTATCATTCAGGCTTTTGTTTTAGTTCGGTAAGTTTTAAGAAATTTCAGCAGCAAAGTTGTTATTCAGTGGGCACGATGGACTGCCAATGCCTCGAGTTATGTATACTTGTCCCAGCTGTAAACTTCATTGTCCTTTGTTGGATATTTTAAGTGGATATAAAATAAATTGGTCTAAAGGGCTGCCCTCCTTGTTGTGTTTTTAAATTTGAGTTAAAAACTGCTACAGCTTATGATTTTGTACATTAAGATAATTGTATTGGTCTTTTTTCAGATTCCTTGTATTTTTAAATAAAGTAATCTTAAATAAAACCCAGATAGGTTTAAAGTGTTAGAAATTTTAAACAGCTTACATTGTTAGCTTAAAGTTACTCTTTTTTCTTTTTTCCTAGTCAAGAGTTCTTGACCCTTTGGTTATTGAGTTTAAAACTTCAACTGAAATTCAGTACTATTTATTTAAGAAAAAAAATCACTAAACTGTGCCTAAGAACATAACTGCCATATTAATGTTTTGGTTTATATCCTCTATAGTAATAGAAAAACATTTAATACTTGTAATGCTGATATGTTCATTTGATACCAATTGAGTAAAATGTGATCAATCCAGTTTACAATCTATCATGAGTATTAAGTAATATCTATGTACTTTTCAATAGGAATCATTTTCTTGCTGTAACACTTGACCTTAACTTTTAGAAAGTGTTCTTTTTTTTTAAACTGCAACTGGAAAGGTTGAAAAGTCAGGACTCTTATATTTGTGAACTGTAATCTGAAGCAGGTTTTAAAAAGTGTGGAAAGAAACAAATTGTCCTTTTTTGTAAAGGTCTGTGATACCATGTTTCGGCTTTGTGTAAGTAATTTGAATATCCAAAGGATTGTGGTGATCAGTCCTTGATATGCAACGTCCGCTTAATAAGGACAAGTGTTCCAGTGTCTCTTATGACTGTGGTCATAAATGATGTTGGAATTTACCATTTTGTGAAATAGTTGGTATCCTTTTACTACTATAGTTAATTTTTGTCATTCCAGGAAATCTTTGTGAAGCCAGCCAATTAATAAAGCACTTTAGCATCTGTTCAGGTAGTTGTGAAAACCAACTTTTCCCCTTCAGGATAAGAACTTCCAGGTTACCTAAAAATGCAATAAAAATCTTTATAGTCTACGCTTCTTGGCACATAATTTTTCATTAGGGTTTTCTTTTATTAAATGAGCACAACACTGTTTTGATTTTTTTCTACAGTCACCCAGCTACTTGTGTAGTTTTTAATTGTATAGCTGTATGAAAGAAGTGGCTAAGACATTTGCTGCACACACTTGAACTGTTGGGTCAGTAGCTTTGTGTCATTGCCCTGACCCCAGTGTAATTCAGGGGGAAAGTTATTAATTAATCTTACAGGGATATGTAGCTATGTATTTTACTTAATTGTTAAACACTGGAAATTAATGATGCAGACAACTAGCTCTCTGCAGTATTTTTTTCCTGTTACCATAAATTGTTTGTTTGTTTGTTTGTTTGTTTGTTTTTATTAATCCTCACTGGAGAATATTTCTTCCATTGCTTTTTTTAGAGACAGTGGAAAGGAGGGAGGGAGAGAGAGAGAAAAACACCTATGCGAGAGACAGAGAGAGAGACATTGGTTGGTTGCCTCCCACATATGGGGAACATACCTGCAATCCAGGTATGTGCCCTTGACCAGGAATTGAACCTGCGACCCTTGTGGTGCATGGGCCAACATTCTAATGCTGAGCTGCACCTGCAAGGGCTCCTGTTACCATAAATTGTATTTATGTGCTTGCTCCCCTCTGCTTTTAAATGGTACCAGTGAAACCAGTAACCCTGAGCCCTCCCTTCCCGTTTGACACTCCCTAGCTTAGATTGATGTAGTTTTAGTTATCCCTGTAATGTGACATTTTTAAGTCGTGGTATACTGCATTTGTCTGTCACTAGTTGGGCATGTGCCAATAATATTCTGTCCATTTCTTAACTGCCATCTCTGTTCTGCCTGATTTTTTTCCCCCTCTTCAACTGAATTACGGCTTTTTGCATGAAAAGAAAAAGTTTTTACTGTTAGACATGTAAAGGGAAGAGAGAGTCAATGTATTGAGTTTTGTAAGCCTAAAAGGAGTATTTGGATTTATCTACGAAATAAGGGCTACGTACTATATAATAGAGTAATCATGTGGTGGAAGATACTTGCAGGTCATAGGTTTGTAGGCAGAAAGATCTGTTACTCCCTGTATCTAGGCTGAATGTAAAATCCCTTATATTGTATTATTGGGGATAATCACTATTTTTATTTGCCTATGATATACCTGGTTTCTAATAAATTGTCCTAGGCTCTAGTGAGAACTGTCTACTTTTAGTTGCCAATCACTCCCTTTCCTTACTTACCTGATATACTCTTGGCTAGCTTTTTATAGGTTGATGCTTTTTCCTGAAATATCTCACCACTGTAAATGTGTTAATTTGGGTGTGATCCTAAAAAGCCTGGATCAAGAGCATATCTAATATGCAACCTGCATCAGCTCCTACTCCATCTGGATGTCTAGAACTTTTGGAAGATTTTGATGTCTTAAATCCTGGGTTTTGCTTTTGAAATAAGGTTTGAAATATTGTTCATTGCATAAGATTTGTGTGTTTTTGCTTTGTAAGCCCAGCAGGTTTTGGGAAATGCCTGTATTGTGAAAGCAAATCTGAACTCTTTCTGAGCCTCTTTTATTGTGAGAAGTAGAATTGCTTTTCATCAGCCTCCAGAAAATTGTGTACCTGGAGTTGAGATTTAACAGCAAGAATCCAGATTTTTAAATGTAATTGTTTTTTAACTGCTAATGTTTGTAAAGCACCTTCAGTTCTTTGGATGAAGAGTGCTATATTCTCTCAGTGTAAATTAATAAAAATATTATAGGAAGTTTGTCAAAAAATTTTATCTAATGCATAGTTTGTAGTATGTCCCAATAAGTTAGCATTTTATATAACACAATTTAAATTAAAAATGCTTATTCCTCCACTTAGTTGCTTGACTAGTAAACAGAAGTGAAACTTTCTTGTTCCATATTTGACTCTGAGCTAAGTGTTCCATTCTTTAAAGGCATTATCCACTGTTATGCCCTGGGTCTGGTGGCCAGAACCATGCTTCATGAGATTGTCACAACTTTCAATTGTATATTTACAGTGTGCGGTCATGCTTAGAAAATAGACAGTAATAAAACACCAAAAAGAAGCATTTGGAAAGTCCCCTAGTATTAGGCCAAACACAGTCGATGCTTGCGGAAGGTTGGTTCCTTAGTTCCCTCTTACTAGTTTTCTCTTTCCTTGTCAATCAGTTGATGAATATTTGTCTTTCTTACCCTCATGAGAGCATGCTTATGCTGTCGTAGGTCATTCAGATATTTTCTTGACTCAAAAATGCATGAAATTTATGAAGATTTTTTGTCAAAAATACTTATTGCATAAGTATATTCCACTTAATCCCTTGGCACTCACTGTTCTAAGCAGTCTGCTTTTATGTGTAATTGGGAATAGGATAGAAAAGACTGCATGGAGGCATTATGGAATAGTGGGAAGAGTATAGTCTTTGTGATCAAATCTAGATAAAAATTCCAGCCATGCCAGGCAGCTAACCTATATTGAGCACACTTAGCTAAATGCTGTGGTGCTCTATTTTGTGGTACCCTTACTATGGCTCTATGACTATATTACTTTTTTTCCTTTGGATGAGGAATCAGGCTTAAGGAGGATAGGTAACTCCTGTAGGGTATACCAGAGTACATCTTAAGCCCCCTTACAGCAATTTTAAGTAGGTTGGTTATAGCTATGTGACCCTGAGCAAGTTGGATTTTCTGAACCTTGAAATTCTGTGTCTAAAATGAGAGAATACCATACAGGCTTGATAACAGGATTAAAAATAGCACTCATAAAGCTCCCAGTCCTTGGCCCAAAGCTACTATTTATTGAGTATGTACTGATACACCATTTGCCCAAAATCAATGTCGTTGCTAAGTAAGAATAACCCAAGGCAATATGTAATTGCTGACATAGTAAATCTTACGTTAGTACAACACATTTGGAGAAGGAAATATTTGCTGTAGGATGCAGTAATTAGGAAAGGCTTAAAAGAGGAAGTATGAAATGTGGACTGGAATGGGATGTGCATTTCTTATATAGTAAAAGCACAAAAGCAGAAATTACTAGAACTTGGTCATGACACAGTTTACTATCATTTCATAGAAGGAAGGTCATTTAAAAAAATTTATTTACTTTTTACAGAGAGGAAGGGAGAGGAATAGAGAGTCAGAAACATCGATAAGAGAGAAACATCGATCAGCTGCCTCCTGCACACTCCCCACTGGGGATGTGCCCGCAACCAAGGTACATGCCCCTGACAGGAATCAAACCCAGGACCCCTCAGTTCACAGGCTGACGCTCTATCCACTGAACCAAACCGGTTAGGCCAGGAAGGTCATTTTTTAACATCAAATGTAAAAAGCCATTTCTGCATAAATGCAGCCACAAATTTGGTTTTGCGAAAACCTGTAGTGCCCTTGTTTGCCATTTGTGAAGATCAGTGAGAGACTTGCTTTCAACCTGTTGGTGCGTACTAGTCCAGGCTATCTCATTGATGCATAAAAGTGTGTTCTAGTAAAATGGAAGTAGTTGAAGAGAAAGTTTTATGCCTCCTCCCAGCTTCAATTGGTAGATAGATACCAAGGATCTACCAAACAGAAAGGGTACACAATGAATTTAGAGAGGCTGTAGGGGATACCACCTTCACAGAAGAATCTTATATGTTAAATGAACTATGTCTTATTTTCAAGGATGGCCTTGTTAAAGGTAACATTGTGCTTATGTGCTAGTTAGTAACAAAAAGTGCAGTGAATTTTATTTTGATTAACTGGTGTAGAACTTAAAATCATTTGGTATCACAGGATGGTTAGCATACACGGAGGGATCTATTTAGGCCTTTCAAAATGGAACACATTGCTTTTAGTTATGGCATCAATTGTTTGCAGCATTGCTCTTTCGTGGCAATTAAAAAGAATGCACACAACTCTTGCTCTCTTGGAAGTCCACGCCCAAGCTTGTGATCTTTTCTGCTGAGGATTGAGCATCTAAACCATGCTTTATATGGTAGCTTATGTTTTCTGGCTAGATACCCTCTATGAAGGGTATCTGGGAGCTGTGAGAAGATTTCATTCAGCATGATACAGAGCAGTGATTTTCAACCTTTTTCATCTCATGGCACACTAATTGCTAAAATTAAGCAGCACACCAAAAAGTATATTTTTTGTCGATCTAACAAAAAATAGGTATAATTTTGATTCATTCACACTGGATGGCTATTGTTGTGTTGGCTGTTACCATTATTTAAATTTGACAATCTAAGGGAAAAGAGGTCAGTGTCCCTGACAAGTCAGGTATTGCATGTTGTAAAAATTCTCTTGACACACCGGTTGAAAATCGCTGATGTAGAGACCGGCACTGTATACAGGGTAGTTCAAAATGAAGCTCGTTTTGGAGAGTTGCCTCACTGTCGCATCGGCCAGAGGAGTTTGGGAAATTGCAGTGCTTGGCTTTGAGTCCTGGCATGGTGCAGTGTTGGGGGGCGCCAGCAGGTGTGTGGGATGCAGGACACACAGTGAGCAGAACCTGCCTGCAGGTGTCTGGGGCCGAAGGTGCAGTTTCCACTTTCCGACGCACGGTGGCGCTCAGTCCCCCCTGCCCTGCTAGTGTTCTCTAAGGCACCTCCACCGCCACCTGCAGTCTCAACCAAACTCTAGGTGGCGGGATGTGACGGCCCGAGCGTCCAATCGACCTCCAGGATTTGGGACTTGCTACGGCTCTAGCCAATGGGAGCCGAGGAGAGGCGCAGAGGAGGCGGGCCCCGCGGCAGTCTGGCCGAGGCGCGAGGCCCTCCTCCCGCCTCTCCGCCTACTCCATCCTCCGCCGCCTCAGCTTCCCCAGCGAGCCCTGCGGCCGCCGCAGCTGCTCCCGCGGCGGAGCAGGAGCCGGATGGTCAGAGGAGCCCGGCAGCCTCAGCAGCCGCGGAGTCGCCTGGCCACCAGGTGGGGCGGGAACTGGGTGGAAGTCGAGGTTGGGGCTGGGGGCGGGAGCGGGCCCAGGGGCAGCAGCCTGGGGCCATGAAGCATTCGGGGTGCAGAGACTGCGGGGCGGGGGGTTTCGTTTGGAGGGATTCGAGGCATTCGGAAGCTGCCTGGGGGTTGGGAAGCTGTCTGGGCGGCGATCGCATCCTCGAGGCGGGAGGGGCATGGGCGGGAGGGGGCGCCGAGGGGTGAGGCTGGGGCACGCCCCGTGAGGGGCCGAGGAATGCGGGGGGCGCGGGGCGCGGGGCCCCGAGGGCGGGGCCCGGAGGGGGGTGCAGGCTCGCGAGGGGGTGGGCACGGCCAACGGGGGGCCAGAGGGGCTTGTGGGGTGACGAGGCAGACAATGAGGAGGTAGGTGGTGCCGGGTGGTTTTGGGGAGCTGGGCTGTGACAAATCAGAGCCGAGGATGGAGTGAGAGATCCGGAGGCAGAGCGGGCTTGGACCGAGCAGACCTTAGGGGAACCGTGAGCCCCAGCACCGCTTGGTCTTGTTCTGTAGGGGAAGCAGCACAGGCGTTTGGAAGGTCAGGTGTGGGCTTAGGAGCCGTCAGTGCTGGAGGGGGGACAGGAGTTCTTGACCGGCAGAGTCGTCCGTGTGTGTGTGTGTGTGTGTGTGTGTGTGTGTGTCCGTGTGTGTGTGACTATAGTGACCATCTGATCTGTTTGGTCCGCAGACTGACTGGCACGGTGGAGAAACCACCTCGAAAACGGAAAAGCAGGTAAGGTAAACATGCCTTCCTGTTTTGTCTCGTGTTTCCACATTTGCTTGACTGCACCTGTGCCATACTGCCTACTTCTCCACTGTCAGCAGGTGAAGTCTTTCATTTAGCTCTTTTCTTAATGAAGGGGAATGGGAATTGGGAGGGCTGGGAAGGCGGGAGGGGAGAGGCGGGGGAGTAATCTAAGATTATATGGGAAAGAGACATGGATAATTGAGAAATCCTGGTTTTTTACTTTAGCCATAATTGCAACTTTTCCACCAGCTGTTTGAAAGCGAATGTTTATTGCCAGATGCTGTGTGCTTTGTATGTGTTATTTCCTGTAACCCTGGAAGCACCCCAAGGAAGTATGTACCGTCTTCACTGTTTTGCAGAAGAGGGAACTGAGGAACAGAGAGGCCAAGTATTTACCCAAGATCACACATCTCCTAAGTGACAGAACCAGGATTTGAATCTAGGCAGTCTGACTCCAGAACTTATGCTCTTAACCGTCATGCTATCATCCCTCTAATAAACATCATCTTGAAAATAGGCTTTCCTGTTGCTTTTTCTCTTTTCATTGTACACAGAGCCTAAGAATACATAGTTGAGCCCTCGGAAAACCGAAAAAAAGGGCTTGTGTAGTCTGCAAACAAGTGAGTTACCTACCCTTTGAGTGATGAAGAAGAGCATCTGTGCATTCCAGGAACATTTCTTAGTGCATGCAGCATGTCTGGTTCTATGGAGCAATTCTGTATAGTCACTAGAAGACTCCTTTTTCACAAGTGTAGGCGCTGGCCTAGAGAATGTATGTGGTGGTAGTGAGGATGTGGCCAGCAGGACTGCTGCCATAGCTGATACTTGGTAAGTTACTGATGGCAGCACACAGACAACTTCAACAGTAGGCACATGTGAAATGCGGACTGTGGACGTGCCAGCAGCCATGGCTCCTTTCTCACTCCTTAGGCCTACACTGTTCAATAAGGTAGGCCTACGTGGCTGTTGAGCACGTGCAGTGTGGCTAGCGTGACTCAGGAACTGAAATTTTAATACAGTTAATGATAATTAACTTAAATTTGACTCATTATTGGAAAATGTTTCAGTATGTTTGAAGTAACTTGGGTTTGTGAATCTACATCTCCATCTGTAAATTTTATGAAATTTAAATGTAGATTAAATATTCCCAATGAAAACTTAATGTCCAAAATGAGGTGTGCTCTAAGTATAAAGTACATGCAGATTTCAGGTTAGTACAAAAAATGAATGTAGCCCTAGCCAGTTTGGCTCAGTGGATAGAGCGTCAGCCTGCAGACTGAAGGGTCCCGGGTTAGATTCCAGTCAAGGGCACAGACCTAGGTTGCAGGCTCCTCCCTGGCCGGGGCCCTGGTCAGGGCTTGTGCAGGAGGCAACCAATCGATGTGTCTCTATCACATCAGTATTTCTGTCTTACCCTCTCTCTTCCACTCTCTCAAAAAATCAATGGAAAAATATCCTCGGATGAGGATTAAAAAGAAAAAGAATGTAAAATTTCTCATTACTAATTTTTATATTGATTTCATGCTGAAATAATATTTTAGATATAGTGGATTAAATAAAAGTGTTACTAAACTTATTTTTTCTAAATGACTACTGGAAAATTAAAAATTACATATATGGCTTGTATTATATTTGTTTTCAACAGCCCTTGTTTAATTGTTATTACCCCACTGTCAGACTCTGGAGTAGCCTGACTATGTTCCCTACCTCGAGTCTAATTTATTCACCATACTGTACAAGTTGATCTTGTAATTCTCATGCTTAAGATTTTTCTGTTTTACATTGCTTACTGAAGATAATTCAGACCTGAAGCCTAATCATAAAAAAAGTTGGTTAAAATGATTTCACTTCTCCCTGTCTTTGCAAACACCATTTATTATTTTTTATTTTTTGGAGAATTTAATATAGATTTCAGAGAAGAAGGGAGAGGGATAGAGAGAAGCATAAATGATGAACAGGATTCATGGATAACGTCATAACGCAACATTGATTCAAACGACTTCGCCCCCGGCCGGGCCATTGGCC